GATCAAGTAAAATAATCCCAAAAATAAACCAGTTGTTGGTTTCATTGCTGGTATCACTGCACCCCCTGAAAGAAGAATGGGACATGCAGGAGCTATTGTATCTAGTAATATTACTATTTTATTCATTCTTTAGAGGGAAAGGGAAGTGCCCCAGAAAAAATTAGAGCTCTTGAATAAGCAGGAATCAGAGTTGTGAAATCACCTGCTTAGATTGGTAAAACTATGTTGGAAGTTATGAAAGAAAGAGGATTGGCATGAGTATCATTTAATTTTATCAATAGTATTTATTCATTATTTAACTATTCTAATTAATCTTATTCATCTAAGTACTCTTAATATCTATTTAAATCAAATTTTTAATACCGATGTTTTCTATAAATATGGATTGTAATGAACTTGACTCTTATGCAACTAATTTATATAATTACTTTTATAATTAATTAAAATTCTTAATAATTATTTGAAAAATAGATGAGAGAATTAGTTATATAAAAATTATAAAATTAGTAAGTGATGGAGAATTATTATTATGATTTATTTGAATAAATTAAAATAAAAAGATGGCGCATATAATTATTAAACAACACTATAAAAATGAAATTGTTAAGAAAAATTTGATTGGTTAATTTTGGCACCATTTGGATTTTGATCCCATTTACAACCTCCAGTTTTTAATTATCTTTATTTAATTCAAAATAAAGATAAATGGCTGGAAAATCAGGAAAAGGAATCGGCAAAGTCAGTGCAAAAAGACATGCTAGAAAACCAAACAAGGCTTCAATTGAAGGAATCACTAAACCTGCTATCAGAAGATTAGCTAGAAGAGGAGGAGTCAAAAGAATTTCATCATTCCTCTATGATGACTCAAGAAATGTTTTAAAGAGCTTTTTGGAGAATGTTGTCAGAGATGCTATCACATACACTGAGCATGCTAGAAGAAAGACAGTCACTGTTATGGATGTTGTTTACTCATTAAAGAGATAAGGAAGAACTCTCTATGGATTTGGTGCATGAGTTTTATTTTCATTAAGGATTAATTAATTTACCTTAACTTTCTCCATACACATGGTTCTTTTCTTTTGAATCATTTTCCTTCACTTTTTGCTTAAGCAACATTTTCATTTTATTACTATATATTGAGCTCAAATAAAATTCTTAAATAAATGATTATCATTATAATAGTTGTTTCTATCAGCTCCTCCTCTCTCTCCTTCCTGATATCTCACAGTTCTTTCAAGTATTTCAAAATTTTAAGAGCCAAATAAAGCTTACTTTTAATTGGCTTGATTAAATTAAATTGGATTAATTAAACATATAATAACCCATAATAGGTATAGAAAACAGAATATCGAGTACAGTTGAACATTTAAATCGGATATAATACTAAAATCAAGTAGAAATTCAGGTATTGATATTTCTGTAAGTTTTTAATACAATTTTTTGAAATCAATTAAATATTTCTTAAATCCTTTTGTAATAACTTGGAAAAGAAGTTAAAAATTTGAGTTTATTCAAAGATCATCAAATTTTAGTACCTTTAAGATGTGATTAATATAATTTAACAAAAAAAAAGACTTTTATTTAATTTATTTATTATTTTTAACTACCAAGTATTGTATAACTAATCGAATTTCCTAAATTATTGGATCTCAATATCCTCTTTGTTTTGGATGTTAAACCAATTAGAATCGAATGGTATTTCTATAAGAATTTATTGAATTTTAATTTATTGCATGAAAGTACTAAGAAAAAAACAAAAAATTTATTTTTAATTAAATCTTTTTCAAAATGAAAACTCACGTCGAAGTCTCAAGTTAAAGAAGAAAGGGCAGAAGAGCCCAATTGGGAGCACCATCAAACCTTAGATATAAATTAATGAGTGCTCATCTTTCAAAGGATTTAAGAAAGAAATACAATGTTAGAGCATTACCTGTAAGAAAGGATGATGAAGTCACAGTTGTTAGGGGTATAGTAATAAATTGAGAATAGGCACACATAAGGGTACAAAGGGTAAAGTTTCTTCGGTTTATAGAAAGAGGTGGACTATTTAAATCGAGAAACTCACAAGAACAAAAGCCAATGGTAAATTAATAATTGTTATTGTAGGAATGCCATACTAAATCCCAATCAGAGCATCATAATGCATCATCACAAAACCCTACCTCAATGAAGACAGAAAATAATTGTTAGCAAGAAAGGCCTCAGCCAAGGTTTCAACAAAAGGAAAGGGTGAGAAACACACCACTGAAAGCACTAAGAAAGCTGATTGATTTATTAAAATATAGAAGTACATTAGAAATATTTTTGTTGGCCACATATAATTAAATAAAGTAACATACATAGGTTTAGATCATTATTCATCATCTTCTAACTAAAATCCATTAAATTTTTTTAAATTTTCCAAATTCGGAAAATGCTTCTCAAAGTTTTTGGCTAGATTCAAGACCTTGGCTGCAGTTTCTATTAACTAATCTGGATCGACTTAAATGATTTAAGCAACATCTTTAATCTTGTAATTTAATATAAAATTATACTTAACTATCAGCATTAAAACTAGAATCTAATTGTTCTACTATTTTAAATGCAACGAAAATGGAAGCAGCAGCCAATAAAGTGTAGTTAGTTTTCCCGCAAATTTCATAATCATACAGTACCATTTTTGAGAGATACAAACACAATCTTTTGAGATATTTATAGTTTTTCTCTTGTAGTCTTTATTCAATAAAACAATTTGTTAGTATTAGATTATACATATCATAAAGAGTACCACCAACCAAATCAAAACCTATAGTTTACAAAATATCACTCTCCTTCTTTTTTATTTGATCTGTGGATAGTTTTTTATGAGCAATCTTATCATAAACAACAGATAATTTCAGAGGATGAATTTCCTCATATTTAGCAGCAATAAACATAGAGGTTACACCACATAGATGTAAATCAGATACTTCTAATTGTTTGATGCTTTTTGAAAAATAGAAATCCATTGTCCTTACTGCTACAAAAAATGTTTAATCTGAGCATTTATAGGAACATAGGACTTCCACCATCCAATCAATCATTTTGGCTCTCAAATTGCTTGGAACTGAGTGATTCTTTAGCCATTCTAAAGGTGTTGACTTTTTCTAATGAAATTTTAATCATCAATACCTCTTGTTCTTTTAAGTAGAAAAATATTTCATCTGTATATAATTTTTAGAGATTCTTATTTTCCTAAATAGTATGATCGAATTTCTCCTTAATTGTAACTGCAGAGAATTCTTAGGGGAGAGTATAAATTTTAGTTGCGATGACTTTATGCTAAGGCACATTCTCCTTATCTTCTAGAACATCTTAATTGAGAGATCGCTTGACTCTTTCTTATTTCCGCCTTAAATCATTATTACTGCCAAGCATTGACTTATTAATTTGTTGGGTGTCTTGATTCCAATAAGATATCATTTTTACCTTCATTGTACAATTAAGTTAAATTCCTTCTTACAGGGTCTCTCTTTTCAATATAGGTTTTGGTTATTCTTCTAAGAGGTTATTATGATTGATTATCTGGTACTCCACTTAGAGATCTGTTGTATTTGATTTCCATAATTTATTCGTTAAAATAATTAACGTCGCGCAAAATTAAGAGTAATATATTCTTGATGAATAAAATTATTAATAAATTTTGAATTTGTTAAGTGTTGACATAGTTTGGTGTCACTGTCTTCTCTAAATCATTAAAGGAATTGCAATATTACTTTATTAATACATAATCTAAATTGAAGTAAGTTTTAAAAATAATAGTTAGTTTTTTATTATATATCAATCTCCGATTCTAATATAATAAATAAATTAAAAGCCCTATGTTCTAATATCTAGTATTATTTCTATCTCAATGCTATATGTTGTCAGTAATTAATGTAGATATAGATTTTATGGACAGTGTGGAACTTTTTGAATTGGAAAGTAGTGAATATATGATAACCCAAATTGTTAATAATGCTACTTTCTACCTGACAGTAGATGCATATGACATTCCTAGATATATAATTTTGGAGTAAGATAATAGTAATAACTAGAATATAATTTACATACCCCAAAGACGGAGATGTGAACTTCCTTATGTCAGTCGGGAGAAATCAATTAACCAAATTGGAAAACTCTAATATCATAACTACATATGCTGATTATAATGGTTTTTATCTCCATAAAAACTATCATAATATTATCATTCCAGCTAATTCATTCAAATCAGGAGATAAGTTCTACTTAACCAATTTAATAAGAAATGATAGACGCACATATTAATACTTTCTTAAAATACGAAAATTACCATACCAACCTTGTCCCAAAAATTGTTCTTCAGATTCAGGTAAATGTTTTGATGGAATATGTTCATGCAATGAGAATATAATTGATTTAGATTGCTCTAAGGAAGGTTAAGCTATAAAATTGGACGAGAAAATTGAAAATTTGACAATATTAGGGACTAAATACTTTTATTTTTAATAACCTACATAATTAGAAAAAATTGTGTTTGAAATGGGTTTGGAAAAAGATTATTAGTAAGAGATTACTTAAGTCACTCTTTATTACATGTTTGAGAATTTTATATACGGTGTTCCAACTCAATATTATACGAATTTCACTTTCACAAAAGATCTAATGTCTAATTCAATAAAGTTCGATGTCTCAAAATTAACTTATAATTCAAATCTATTAAGGTACTTTCTAATTTGATTTAGATTTAATCGTCTGATTTTTGGTCTAGTTACAGAGAAAGAGGTGAGATGTAATTTTTATATTACTTCAAATTCATCTAATGAATCAAATGATGCTGACTTAAATATAATACTATTTGTTACAATTTCAATCGTGCTTTTTATAATCTTTTTGATCATTTTCATTGTCATAATTAGACGCAGATTTATTGCGAGATAACAGAATTTACGTATAATTCCAGATTAAGAAGTTAATCTTTCAATTTAATTTTTAACAAGATACATGAAAAAAGCTGCAAAAAGAAAAAAAGATCAATAAACTTGTTCAATTTGTTTGGATGATAAAAAGGGTGATCTGAGATAAACACTTTGCAAACATCAATTTCATGTTGATTGTCTATATAACTGGTTAATTAAGTGTGAGGCACAATATAAATGTCCAAATTGCCGAGAAATTATTGATTTAGAAAAAATAAAAAAGTCTTTCAAACCTAAATCCTGTCAAGTAATGGATGTTAGTTAAGATAGCAGTTTAGATTAAATGATCGATTGAAGATTAGTTTAACGATTATGAATTGGACATAAACTATGATATATTTTATATATATAAAGTTTAATTCTTTATTGAATTGTTAATAGTTAAATTTTATTCTAAATTTTATAATATATTTATATGAATCCTCAATCAACAAAGAATAAAGATAAAGTCAAGCAGCATTTCAAAATTTCAGAATTTATTTTAGAAAAACTATTAAATGACTTTGGCTAGAAACCTATTGACAGAAGAGTATTCAATATATTTAACTAAGTTAATAACTTGCTATGTGAATGATTATAAATCTAAATATTCATCTTACAACGAACAAGGAGTAAGGTAACTAAAAATTGAACTTAAATCTGCTTTACTGAAAACTGACTCTGAGAAAGAGTAGATAATGGCGAGTCTTATTAGCAACTTTAATTCTCAATTGTTACAAAAGGATTAACAATCAAATGTAAAGAAATAGAAGAATAACAGAAATGCATAAATGGCCACTCTTCCACAAGAACAGCATAATCAAAACAATAATTTGGCTTACCATGAAATACATAGACAAGAATCTTTGGCCTCTGAAAATCGATAGAAGTCCATTTATGAGATTGAGGATGATAACTAAGATGAATGGGCAGCCATTATTAAATATGATACAGCAAAGTATTAAAAGGAGTAATTAGAAACGAAGAAGAAATAATAAATTATGAAATAAAAGTTAAAAGAAGATTTGGATAAACAATTATACGAAAAGGAGTAATAAAAAAGAGAAGAAGAAATGAAGGAAGCATTATTTGCTTAACAAAATTAATAGCGTAAAATTGAATTTGAATAATTGGAGAAATAGAAAAAAGAATCATAAAAGCATAAATAATTTGAAGAAAAAAAGTTAAGGGATGAACAAGTACAACTTGAAAAAATAAGAAAGTAATCTCAGAATAATATTATAACTTAGAAAGGAGATCTAAATGTAGTCTAAATTAAAGGAGGATGAAATTTTATAACAATTAAAAAATGAGATCAATCGAGAATCTCTTGAACTTAACAAAAAACGATAGGAATAAAAGGAAAAGTTCTAATAAATACTTAAAGAGAATGAGTTACTCAGATAAAAGGTAATTTAATATGAAATTTATAAAGGCTCAAGATGATTTGAAACAACAAAGAGATCTTGATTAGAAAATACAACAATTAGAGTTACAAAGATAAATTCTAGAGGATGAAAAGAGGGAGAATTAGAAAAAGGAAAGGGAAGAGAAGATTAAATAGTTCATGAGCAATTATAGCTTTTAAGTGCTTAGTAAATAATAAGAGCAGGAGGAAAATGAAGGAAAATATTTAGTAGAACAATTAAAGAAATAAGAACAATTAGAAAAACAATAAGAATTGGATAAGAAATAAAAGGAGAAACAAAAAATGGAATTGATCAAAGAATAATTGTAATTGCAAATCCAATAAAAATAACAAAAAAAGTTAACAGAAGAGGAAGAATAAAAGATGTTATTCATTCAATAACAACTTGATATACTAAACTTCTCTTAGAAGTAGTAAGAAAAATAGGAAGTAAGTTATTATGCTATATACTTCATAGTCAATCAGGAAAAGTCGTAAATAGAACTAAGATGATATTAAAAAATAGATTGAAGAGTCAAGGAATAAAAGTTTGCATGAAAAAATGTCTAAGTTGGAGTTACTCTAAAATAAAAGACTCTTAAAAAACATTGCAAATGATTAGGAGATAAAAACTAAATTTAGAAAAGTCAATGTTTCTTTAAAATGATTAAAATTTTAAGTTATATTTTTCATAATATGCTGTTTTAAAGAGGAGATTAATAAAATGCTAAAATATTTTAACTCATTAAAATTTAACTGTTATATTTTTAGGTATAAAATTATTTAATTAAAATAAAACATTACATTAAATTGAAGCTAATCTACATTTATCTGTATTAAATATTCAATTATTATTTTAATATATTTCTAATTAATCAATTATCAATAATTGTTATATATTATATATGATCTAATCTAATTTTCAATTAAACTGTGATCATACTACAAGTCCAAATCAAAAATAGATTATGATATTAATAATAATAAATTAAATTCAATCGTCATTTCTTTCTTAGCAGTGTATGAAATTAGGTTAATTTTAATCATCAGAAACTACATTTAATACTTAAGAATGTACAAATGCTACAGAAAAAATTGACATATCGCAAAATTTAAATTTTAGAGATGTACAAAATTTATATACATGCGATTAATAATCTGACAACTCTGTTGAATTACTCATACTTAGCAATCAACATCCAGAAAACGAATGGATAAAAATAGAGCAAGAGATTGTAGCATATTTAAAATCATTGGGTATACGAATGAAAACAGACCCTTTGGAAAAGCAAGAGAAGTTTTTTAAAAAACCCAAGAGAAGAGTGAATAAATCCAGTACAATGACATTCAATACTCCATTAAATAATGAAGATAATGATAATACGGAATCAACACGGCAAACCATTCAACAAATGAGTATAGAAATGAATTCGATCAAATAACGACGAACTCCAAACGCAACTCCTTAAAGTTCTCCTTTGATCACTAAAAACCTGGAGTTATAAGAACCCTTAAAAAAATAAAGAATGTCGATATTTTAGAAGATGAAAGGCTAGTCATAAGCATTCTCTTCTGATGAAGAGGAGATTCAAGAAAATATGAAAAGAAATTAATATCAATTTGGCAATGAATAGTATGATGGAAAAAGCGATTCGAGTGAAAATAATATCGAGACAAACTATTTCTAAAATATATGTGAATGATATATATAGTAACTATATCATTTTATTCCTGCTTATTAGAGTTTTTACATTAACTATTATATTTTACTATCCTTTAACTTAACTAGTTATTCTAATTTTTATATTTTAAGTTCTAGAATCTCTATAGTTTCCTTCTAATCTTGGATTATCAAATCTTTCTCGTTTGATTTGTTATTGGGTGCCTGTTTATTACTACCTTTATTTTGATTCTGCTAAACTTCAACCGGCTTCTCCTATTGATGAATCTAATTTTGTTCTTTGTTATCCAAAAACATTGATATTTTCACCTAAACAACTTTGAGAATTCTCTCTACTGCTTCAGGCACAACTGAAATTACGGCATCAATATCTTTTTAAGTAATTTAGAAACCCATCTTTCTAAAGACCTATATATCTGGATTAGTATACTTACTTTTGTATTCAAAGTATTCCAATTGTACTATTTCTATTGAACAGAATGAGCTAAGCTATAATTATGTATATCAACTATTCTGGGTATATAATGTTGAACTATTTCAGCCATCAAAACTCCATCTGCAAAATCTCTTCCTATATGTCTTTTAGGTCTTGATAAAGGTATAGTATCAACCCAATTATAAATTTCATTTAATTCATCTTCATTCAAGGGAGGAGCATCCATATCCCTGTTTGTCATTGTTAATTAGATTTAATTTAAAATTTATTCTGAACTAACTAACTTTTCATAATAAATAGAGAACACATAACCATATTATCAATAGTTTAAGGAATTCTGGGATTTCTTCAATTTCTGCAGATTTGTCTTAAGGCATTGTCTAAATATAAATTCATAGATTTTACGAATTCACTTCTTCTAATCGTATCAGTTGTTTTATTCTTTTAGCGAATCCTGCATCATTTTTTTCTTTTAACTTTTTAGTCAATTGATTGATTGATCATATAAAACATCAAGATTCACTTCATAAATGGATTAAAGTGATTAATCATCTGAAATTTCATCTGCATATTTTTCAGTTTGTATTCTTTTTTAAGCTTCCAAAGATCCATGCTAACGATATTTCAATTTTCGATTTTTTAATTGATTTAAATGCGTTTCTAATTATTCATTTAAATTTTATTCCTTTTCACTTTCGATCATAGTGTGAAATTTCTAGGTCATCTCCTTAACCCTATGATTAAATAACATATTATACTGCTTATTCAACGTATATATATTTCTATTGTGTATGTAATCGTATAACTTAACATCATAGTTGGTTATCAAACCTTTAAAATTTTTAGGATTTTTATCGCCCTCTACTTATTTTGTAAATAGGTAGAAAGGTTTTTTTGTAATTATAAATTATTTCCTTTTTCTAGGATCAGAAATAGAATCCTAGAATTTACAAATTTATTTATATTAATTAAGGTGATGCTTGAGACTAGCCACATAAACATCCAATGGACAATCAGTAGGTAATTTTGAATTGCTTTGGAACAAATGATCTTATTGTTATTTTAATGTGAGTGGAGATTAGGATATAGAATTTTAATTGCTTTTAATTTTGGATTTTCTTAATTCAGATTAAAATTTAATATTGTATTATTCCAAAAGTTTTCGTTCTTAATTTAGAGCTGATTTAAATTGGATTTATTTTTGTTATTCTAATTCCAATAAATAAATTTTAGAATATTGGTTCATTTAATTTTTCAACATCCCTAGGGAAGGGCAATCAAATTTATCAAAATGCTTTTCCTGATGTTTGATGATTGGTTGTACATTATCATAGTTTACTAATAATTATTTAAGTTTTCGTTGACATGGTACTAATTTCTTATAATATTATGCATCATCCTTGAGTTTTTCTTACTGTTATTGTATATGTTAATTATAATCATTAGTTATGTCAAAGAAAGTCTTGATAAAATGAATATTTCTAATATCTTCTTCTCTTTGTTCTTAATTTAAGGATTTCCTCAAATCAATCTATAAAATTATATTTTACAAGTACTCTTTATTAAACGAAGTTTCTCAAAACCTAAATCTTTTTATTTATTTTGGTTTTAAAAATGTCCAGCTTCAGTAAATCTTCTTTGATCAACCATACGTATTTGATGCGCTTTGAGTTATTTAGTTGAACTGTTGATATTCAATAAAGGAGTTGAGTCATTGATTTTTAGTGTATCCGTGATTCTTAAATTTTTTAATTTTTTGGACTATTGACAGTTTTCTCTATAGTGATTTGTTCTCCTCAATCTGCTTCTAGTTTAGTATAAATTAGATTGGCTTACAGCATGAACATGAGGAAAATTAATTACCTCCATTAATTACTGAATTGATTATTCTCCTTCAAGATACTTGTAGAACTCCAACTTGAATTGCTTATTAGTACAAGGAAGTAGAATAGGAATTTCATTTACTAAAGGATCCTAGAGATACTGTGATCATAATTCAAATAGGTACTTCTTTGGCCTCAGGGAAAAGGCTTCCTTTTTTTGTTTCAAGTTGATATCGTGTAAGATATTGCCAAACATTAGCTTCCAAGCATCTTTCTGGTTTTATGGACTCTGTTTTTTGACATTTAAGTAAGTCACCTTCTTACCATTTAAAATTCGTTGGTTACTTTAGATTAAGTTTTGCCTAAATTTGCTAGGAGGATGATCTCTAAGCGAATCTGGTTCAGTTTTCAGATAAGCCGATACTGATTCTTACATATTTAATTATAAAAAATTATAATCCCTATGAATGAGGTATATATATAGTGTAAACATTAAATAGAATCTAAATCTACAAAAACTGTTGAATAACTATCTTAACCCAACCATTGACAACCTCTAGATTATTTATTCCAAATTACAGCAATTATAATATTTTAACTCCTTCATTGAGAAGAATCTTAAAGGAACATAAAGGGAGAGTCTATTATATGTACATAAAATCCTCACATTAGTTATGCGGCAAATTCAAAATGGAACATTTCAAAGGAGGAGAACAAATATTCAAAGAGGGAGACAAGTCAAACGACAAATTATACATAATATTTAATGGGAAAGTTGCATTGATGAAGGCAAGACCCTAGTAAATCTAATAATCAATCGAAAAAACCCCTGAAATTTAAAAAACACCTTCAGTCCCACAAAATTAGTTAGCCAAGCCTGCTCCATTAATACCTCAGTATTAATATAATTGTTATTGATTTAGGAAGACTATAAATGGTAATGCTACTGGCACAAACTTTTTCAAATAATTGGCTTATTCTAAGAGGTTTGCTGATAAAATGAAAGGTAATATAATACAGGGTTAGACAAATGAGAGAGTTTAAATAAGTCAATAAGAAATTTAAGTTTTAAATGAGAAATATGGGGAAACTATCAGAATATTAAAGAGAGGGGAAGGGTTCGGGGATAAAGCTTTATTGGAGAATGTTCCAAGGGCATTAACAGCTTGTGCTTATACTTAAGATTTATTTTTGCTGATCTTGAAAAAAGATGATTTCGATTTAATACGACAACAATTCATATAGCAAATGAAGGAAAAGAAAAGTTTAATATTCACCAAATTCCCTGTCTAAGGAGATTATTCATCAAAATAATTAGAACATTTAGCATACAGTTTTGATGTTGAACAATTTTAAAAAAACTGTGTTTTAACAGTAGACGGACTTCCAAAAAAGTCTTTCTATTTAATTCAATATGGTGATATCCTAATCGAAAAAATGATAAATGATTAAATGACAAAGATTTGTATTCTAAGTAATAGTCATTTATATTAAATTAGCTAAGGGGTAATTACTTGGAGAAGAAATAGTTATGAATGAAGATGGCTGTTGTGAATATAATTCCATTGTTCTATCAAATGAGGCTACTGTAATGGTTATCCACAAACATGAATTCTTATAAAAGTTTCCTGAAGAATGCAAATTGTGGGTTAAGGAAGAATACTATAAAAAAAGTAAATTCAGAAAAATGTTTCAATCTAAAAACATGGAAAGTGTAACTGGAATTGGAAAACCCAAATTCACCACAGCTAAACAATTCATAGATATTAAAAATAATTAAATGAAGATTAAGAGTAAAGAGGTTTAAGAGAGAATTGATATAGGATCTCTGATTGAAGAAAAGAATTCCATTTACTTTTAAAAATATCAAAGTGATCCAGAAAAGGATGCAACTGCAACATTATTTGGATAAGATTTATATTAATCTCCTAAATTGGGGTTCATCCCAAGATATGATAAAATTAATAACATACCACTTAAAGCATTTAAAGAATAGTATCTAAAGAAATTATGTTCCAAAAGAAGAAGACTAGAATTTATAAGACCTCCTCCTTTAACTGCAAGAACCTTATTAACTCTGTAAACAAACCAATCTCAGTACTTAACCAAAATTCAGCATACACATACGCATACTTAATCTACTGTTATCAATTCATTTACTCCAAGTCTCTCTTAATCACCTAATTTTACAAATAGTAAAGAAATTAATTGATATGATAAACTATTCTAATATGATCTTATTTAATCACAATTTATTAAAATCTCTCGAAAATCATTCATTCAATATTTACTTACTAGCATACTAAACAGATTTTCTTATTATTTTATTGCTATATAGATTATTAAACAAGCTTTAATTTTATTCTTATCTTTATTGTCATAAAATCAACATAAAGAGGTTTGCCTTGTTGCTATTTTTAAAGAGATTATTCTCTGAAATTGTTTCTTTATAGAAAAACTTAAATCTCAAATCTAATATTTTGCATTAAAATAATCTTGTAAATGAATCAATTTTGATGTAACCTATTATAATTTTATATAAAAATCCATTATTAATCTATATTAACTAATTGTTTTTAAGTTTTCTTATTATATTTTAATCAACAAATTCTTGAAATTATTACTTTTCTTTCGATGCTTAACATATAAGATCTGTGTTATTCTTTATTCTCCGAAAAACTTTCGCCTACAACATTTTCAACTCATACAAAATATTTCTAAAGTGTTTTTGCAAATTGATTTTAAATTTACTTTTCTAATCTTTATATAACCTCTTTGGTGATCTTTAAAGTATTTATGCTCAGCTCTCATTTGTGCAAATTGAAAATAGTGGGACAGTCATTAAATGTATTTTAATGACTAATCTATTAAACTGTTAACTATCTTTTAGTTCATCTTTTTAATCATTTTTAAAGAAATTTTGAGTAAAAAATGATATTAATTTTAATTTATATATATTGGTTATAAGATAGATTAATTTTAATTTATTTTGATCTTCTCTTTACTTATTACATCTTTATTTCATCCTTTTTGGTAAAGTTAAAAAACCTTACTTCAACTTATGCTATATTGACTTTTAGTTCTTAGCTAATGTTATAAACAGTTCATAAATTATTCAGCTATTTCTTCTTCTTTCATTATTCTCTTTTAATTACTTGTAAGACTTTTTTTAAGAATTAAAAACCTTCTTTTGCAATTAGTAATATCTAAATCAAAATATGATTACCATTGCTGGTATTTAAGTTCTGAAGAAATTTCTCTTTAATTAAATATACAAATATTCAATAATAAAACTTGGAATTCTTTAAACATTTTAAAATTAATTTATTATAGGAAGAAGTTCAATAAACTGCACTAAGCAATAAATAGTTTTATTAACTATAAACACGATTTTTGGAATATTACAAATTATATTTATATAATTTATTTAATATTATTTATAAATTAGAATATAAAAATAGTGCGAAATAAGATACATAAACTTTAATTAGGGAAGTACATAAGAATGAAAAATAATTTTAATTATCAATAAAAAGCTCAAGCCTCAGGGATCATTATTGCATTTTAATTATGAATTCCCAAGGCGAAAGTAAAATTTCAAGATTGTATTATCACTGTCTCATCTACATTAATTTATTCCCATATGTTATTGTTAAATAAACCTATTTACGTGCAGATAAGATAGTCTATAGGTTTATCATATTTTATATAAAATATATTTATTTTATACAAGAATTCTTTGGAATAATAGTTTGGAAAAGTTTTTAGTTTTCATAAATTAAGATAAAATAGCAATTATATTTAAATAATTAAAGTCATTATTCATAAGAATTTCTTAAGACAATTAATTATTAAATTTCCCATCCATTAGCTTAGATTCTAATATCTACGATTTGATAAATTTATGGCTGTGATTATTTAATTAAAGTTTATTACATATCTAATTATATTTGAAAATAATTATTAATAATCCACATGAATTTCGAGACTTAAACAACAGAAACACATCAATAAAAAACCTACAAAATCATCACATTCCCCTAACATCTCGAAGAAGTGAACGAGTTTCAAAATTTCAAGAAATAGTTAGCACTAAAAATATTAAGAAAAAGCAAGGCACTAAAGAAACAATCTTGATAATGAAAATCTGATTTTGATGATTATACTTATTTAAAAGAGTATTTTCAGTTATTTATACATGGTCTTCCCTGTCTTACAACATAAAACAAAAATACTATATAAAATTATTTTTAGTGACAAAAGATTTTAAGAAACCCAGAATGAAGACTACGTTTCTTTAATTAAGGAATTGTTCACTCTTTTACTTATAAAAATATAATCCTAAGTAAAATCAACCTTTAGATCACATCTAAGTTGTAATATTTCAGAGGATCACCAACTTCATAATTTAGGATAATATGAGGAGAAACTATTTTTAAGAAGGCAAAAACTAAGCCCAACTCTTATTGTTACAAAAAATTAGATAATTAGTACTTTTAATGAGACTTATATTAAATGCTAAATTCATTTATAATTGAATGCGGCTTAAAAAATTTAATTATATAATTTTAAAAATATCAATATTTTATGAAGAATTTATTATTTTATTTGAATGGGTAAAGATGTAGGTATAAATATTTACAATTTTCTTAAAGCTGCTTGGCTAAAATTGATAAAATAGTTTCTTCTACGATTAAAGTTCCACAAAAAATTATTATTACATATAGTCAACCCTACATATCTTATGTAATAAATGACATTCTAAGATATAAGGGATAAGATTCAGAACCAAGCAACTCTGATAAAAATACGAGACCTATAAGATCAATTAAAATTTATAGTTAAATTCTTATTTTAATTAATATTCATTTAGACTCTTAGGCCCAATCGAACACATTATCCCATGTGTATTCCTATTTAATAAATAGATCTTTGAATAATCTCTTAATCCAAACATAATCAGGTATTTCTTCGAATTTTAAACTCTTAATGTAATTAAAGTATTTAACAAACTCCTCTATTGATATATATATATATTTAAATACCAGGGAATCCTTCGCATAATTTATCTATTGGAGTAGCAATCTTGCATTCACCAACCTTTTCATACTTTGCTTTCTTGGTTTCTGTCTTGATTCCTGACCAGGGTAGAGATCCTCTTAAAAAATAAATGAGCATATAGCCTATAGACTCCAAATCATCTCTTCTGCTTTGCTCAATTCCCAAATGAGCATTGATGCTAGAAAACCTACATGTGCCTACCAATTGATTATTTTCGCCATATTAGATATGTGTTTCTATGAATTGAATGAATGCTTACCTGTCCTTTGATATCTATATCTTTTAGCCAAACCAAAGTCAATCATATAAATGTTGTCTGCCTTTTTGTTGAGGCCAATTAAGAAATTCTCAGGTTTGATATCTCTATGAATAAAGTCTTTGTTATGCAAGTAGGAAATTCTTGTTAGTAACTATAGGTAAGTTGATTAATATCTACTTGATCAGCTAACATTAAAACAGATTTAAGTGAGAATTTTCTTCCATTGTAATTGAACAAGTCTTCCAAACTTGGTCCAAGTATATCCATGACTAACACATTAAAATCTCCTTCCTATCCAAACCAATGTAAATTTGGAATTCCAGGTACTGGACCATCAAGCAATAAGATTCTATAAATTTTGGCTTCATGTAACAATTAAGAATGGTTATTGGTCACGTTTTCCTATTAAAATTAGAATTTCAGTTACTAGTTTGATTGCTATTTCTTCACCAGTTTTGATATTGTTTCCTATTATAGAACTCTATTTTACCCAAATAGATTTAGCCGAATGCTCCAATTCCTATTTTCTTATCCAGAGTAAATCTATACTTTTATGCAAAAGTCAACTCCATTAAATATATAAATTAATAATCTAAATTAAATATGTTCTCAAAAGTTTTCTTAATTGTATAAGAAAAATAATTTTATACTTTAATGGATCCCGATTGGGACTGAGCATTATTATCATCATAACATCATACTATAAAGAAATTAAAAATAATTATTTTAGAATGTAAAGTTCAAACGAATAAACTAAGGGAAAAGGATTAAAATTTGTTTGTCTAAGTGATACTCATAATTAACATCCAAAAAAATTAGAAAAAGGAGATGTTCTAATACACTGCGGAGACTTTACTTGTGCAGGTGATTACAAAGAAGTTTAAAATTTTAACAGATGGCTTGACGAATAGAAAGAATTTAAATATAAAATCATCATTGCTGGAAATCATGATTTAAGCTTTGATACTAGAAAATATCCATAGCTACTGAATTATCAGGAGCTCTAATAAGAGATTTAATATTTAAAAAAGAATTTTATTTATTTAGAAAATTCTGATGTTGATATTGAAGGATATAAAATATGGGGCAGTCCACATTCCTTAGAATACTGGTATGGAGCATTTTAGATATCTCCAGATGAATCTGAAAATATTTGGAAAAACATACACGATTAAACAGATATTGTATTAACGCATGGACCTCCATATGGCCATGGGGATATGTCCAAAAGTGAAGTTCATAATAATGTTGGTGATTAATAACTATTATAAAGAATTAAATAAATAAAACCAAAATATCATATTTTTGGTCATATTCATGAAGCCTATGGAAAAACAGAAGAGGATGGCATCACATTTATTAATTGTTCTTATTTCAAAAATGGATATTCATTTGGAAACAAACCTTTTTCGTTTACTCTTCCTTACAAAGAATAACAAAACAGATGACATCAATTAAAAAAGACTTTAATATTAATTTATTCGCAATCAAACATATATTATCCAATTATACCTTTTTACCTTATATTACAATTTCATTTAATATAATTAATGAATTTAATTTCCACATGTTAATTAATGACAAATAATGTTCATAGGTCACTATTCTTTTTGCTATTTCCCATACCTAATTACCTTTTTAGCTCTTGAATTTATTTCTAATATTAGACTTCTCTCTATTTATAGTCTCTTAACTATTATTCTAGCTTCTCTATATTTTCTAAATATGTACTTAGCCATCATCATCTTCAGATCCAAGCTAATAAATTAATTAGTACAATACGCTATCATAGTTAAGCTTTTGTTCTTAATCAGCCCATTGATACCCCAAAAGGAAGAAGGTTAAACATGTCACCAACAAGACAATTCCAATTTCAATTAATTAAATTTATATCATTATAAAATATTTATAATTATCCCAAAATAACAATTCTTTTAGCAATTCATATGAATTTTAGAGTAATACTCATTTAATGTGCTTTAAATAAAACAATCTTTAAATTCTGCATAAATATATTAAAATTAACAAATATAAAAAACAAGTAATTAACATATCATTTCTAATATAGGGGAAAAATTAAGTCTAATTAAATTACTTAAATTTATTGGTGTTTCTCACATAAAAATGAAATATCAGCTTAAAAATATCAGAATTCCTATTTTTAAAATGTTTCATAAAAGATTCATAATTAAATTATGTTTCTACAACAGCAGTGAAGTATTCTTCTTTTTGAAACAATTTAGTTTTATTTATCATTTATTAATATTAGGAAAATACATGCAAATTTTAATCTGATATTTCAGTTCACTAAAAGTTTAAGATTTTTCAAAGTAAAAGAAATAAAACAAAATTTTAATGATGAGTATATACATTAAATAAGCCTTCTTTTTTTTCTATTATCCTTTGTTTAAGGTAAGATTTTCTTATTTTAAATTTTCTCAAATAATGTAAAATTTTAATCTGAATCAATTTTAATGAGAAATAACTTAATATTTTGATATGGATTGCGAGAAAGCGTGAAAAAATTAAAAATATATAGATATTAAAATGAATTAAATGTGTAAAATAGAATGATGCAATAACAGAAGTTGGATTGGCCTTTTAATAACTATTACTAAAATGAGAAATATTTAAATTCAACTAAACTATTTTTAAAGTTATTTATTGAACTACATTGCTTGCTTGATTAAATTAAGAAATGAATTTCCATTCAAAAAATTCAATAGTTTCATTAAAATACTTACATAATTATAAAAAATAGAATTAAAGTATTATAATTACGAATATAAATTAACAAGTTAAAAAATAATCATAATTTGCTCAGCAATTCAAATGTAAGAAATTCGTAGATAAACTATTTAGTCACATTTGGGATTATGTGTTATAAGACAATCGTAAATTAACTTCTGAGATGATATTATCTTATGGTCCATTATGGTTAGTAATTTTTAAATCAATAAAAATGAATGTACAATTATTAGAACTAAGGACTGTAAGTCATAAATAATTTTATTTAACTATTCTTATTAGAATAATTGGATTATATTAAAAATGTGAGACTCTAATCAAATTGATGATGGTTAAATATTATTTGATATTTTAGATTAGGAAAATCAGAAAATAAAATTTATATTAATATTTCAATGATTATAATGTATAAAATAATTATTCAAGATATGATTCAGGAACTAACATTGATAATAAGGAGTCGATAACCTTATTATGATAATGTTATCAGACGTATGTCTTTAAATTCTTCGTTAAAAATCACAAACAAATCTTTGATATTGGATTTATTCCAATAAGTTTCTCCAATAAATCTTGGATTTTGCCCTTAAAAAATTATTAATTAAATAATTTTTAATAGCTAGAAATTAAGATTTGAAGGAATGTTTTTTTGTTGCAGTTCAAAATAAAAAAAGGAAAAGAAACTCGTAAAGCCCAAATTAAATACACCCACAAATTTAAAAAAACTATATTCTAGCGTGCCTTAATTACAAAGCATTAATTAAAGCACCATTCTCATTAGAAGAATTTCAGGGATTCAAAAGCCATTTAATCTTAATCATAAAAATGATAACATATTATATATAAAAAATTGAATTTTTTCAAAGATTCTCTCTCAAACAATCTAGTAATACTTAGTGATTATAAATTGCAAGCTTTATAAAGGTTTATTTTCTGCATTACTTTGTATTTGTAAGATATTAATGGCAAATAATGTATTATAATCAAATTATTCGATAATTCGAATAAAGAGGGAACTAATGCAAAATTGAAAGCTAAATACAAATTAAAGTGCCAACCTTCCTTTTTTTAGTTTACTCTAAAATCATATTTCAGAGCTTAATTTTTATTACAAGATTGCCAATTCATATAATATAAATAAATAGAATCCAGAGCAAACTAAAAACCTTGTATTCCAAAGCTACCTATAGAAGAAGATAAATAAATATTTTAGTTTTAAGATTGTATATATATAATAATTGAGTTAAGTTGGAATAATAATAAAATGGATATTCAAACTTAATAATTAAATGTTTAAGTGGCAGTCAGAGTGAGGCCTTTAAGCAACAAGGAACTAAATGCAAAGGACGAATGTTGTTTGAAGACTGAGGACAACAGAGTATGAATTACTATAATATAGATAATTTTGCCATAAAGTGGGAAAATCTTTACTTTTGACCATGTCTTCAATTAGGATTCGAACTAGGAAGAGATTTTTGATAGGTAATGAATGGAATTCCTATATTTTAGTTGTGTAACCAATTTAGTGTAAAGATGCTTTGAGGGATATAATAGTACAATATTGGCATATGGCCAAACAGGTTCTGGGAAAACCTTCACAATGGGAACATCAGGTTTGGATCAATATTCTGGTTTAATATTGTGATTAATGCATAGACTAAAATGAATGGGGAATGATACCAAGAGCAGTATATTTATTATTTGATGAAGTGGAGAAAAGGAAATAAGAATAGGACTAGGACATAATTATTACATGTTCATACATAGAATTATATAATGAATAAATAATCGATTTGCTAAATGAATCATCAATGAAATCTAATTTATAACCAACAATAAGAGAGGAAAAGGATCATACAATTTCAATTCAAAATTTAACAACAATATCAGTAATGAATCCATAAGATATGCTTCAAATATTAAATAAAGGAGGAACCCATAGAACAACAGCAGCAACTCAAATGAATTTGAATAGTTCAAGATCCCATGCAATATTTACAACTTATTTTAAAATAAACCCAGAATCAGAGGAAGAATCTCTAAGTGCAAAATTTCATTTTGTTGATCTAGCTGGTAGTGAGAGACTAAAAAAAACTATGGCTATAGGTAAGCAGATGGAAGAAGGGATTAATATTAATTAAAGTCTTTTGGTGTTAGGAAATGTAATTAAAACATTAAGTGATTAAAAAAAATCGGCTCATGTTCCATATAGAGAAAGTAAATTAACAAGGTATTTAAAGATTTAAATAATTATATATAGAATTCTATAAGATTCCTTGGGAGGTAATTCGAACACCTATATGATAGCCTGTATTTCACCATCAGCTAGTAATTACGAAGAAACAATTAACACTTTGAAATATGCAAGTAGAGCTAGAGAAATTAAAAACAAGCCTACTCAAAACAGAGTATCTTGATATCTTTATTTAAGGATCCACATGCAGCTTAAATTATAGCTTTAAAACAATAGATACTTGGTCTTTAGGGTCAAATTAAACAATTTTCTTAAATACTTTAGGAGAATAATATCAATACTGACTCTGTTAAATATATGGCTGATTAGATTTATGAATCAATCTCTCCAAGTTCTGGGCCTTAATAATCTTGCTCAGAACATGGAGAAGCTATTCTTAAATTAAAAAATTAAAATTAATAGTTGGAAAAGCAATTAAATAGTTTGTAAAGAGAATTGTAGAATTCTTAAAAAGGATTAAGTGAAAGTATGCTTGAAGGTTACAAAGCAAAGAAATAAAGAGACTAAGTTATGAAACAGTTTCAAGATGCAAAAAAGTAAGCTTATATATTTGATTTAGAATTCTATAAAAATACAATATCTAATTTAATTTCAATGAGGATCAATAAATGGATACTTATTATAATGAAATAGCTAATTTAAAGAATGTAGTCAAAGAACATGAACAAAGAATATTTCTATTACAATCTAACAATGATTAATTGATAAAAGTAATTTAATTTGATACATAACTTAGTACAGGAAGCACGCAGAGATCAAAAATTATTGAGATAAAAGCAACACGAATTAATGAGATTAGAAAAACGAAAATAAGATGTAGACTAAATAGATGATGATTTTGAGTTAGATGACTCTGAAATAATACAGAAGGATCTTCAAATTGAAGAATAGGAGTATCAGCTTCAAGAATTGGATAAAATAAAGATAGAGACAATTTAATTATTATAAGATGATAAGCAAAACTATTTAAAATAAATCTCTATTTTAGAAGAAGAGAAGGCTAAACTATAAAAGTAACTCAATACTAAATAGGATTCTGCTTAAATGAATTAACTAAAATTTAAAATATCAGAATACGAAACTAAAATATTGGATATGAGATAAAAAGAATTGACATCCAAATAATTATAAAAGAAATTGGATGATCAGGAGTCTTAAGTGAAAGAACTTAGAACTAATATTGAATAAATGAAAAAATAAAAAGTTGATTTGATTAAGAAAATGAAATAAGAAAATGAGAAATACATTAAAGATAAGGAATAAAAACATAAAGAGTTAATATATGCCAAAAAATAAAAAATATAATAAGACACTTTAGTAAGTAAATTGAAAAATGATAATACTAAAAAAGATGTTTAATTAAAGAGAAAGGAGGACGAATTATAAAAACAAAAAAATGAAAAACTAATTATCAAATAACATAATCGATATAATCCAAATAAATCACTACAATATGACACTTTTGAGAAGTAAATTGATGATCTGTTTTCAGAACTAATACTTGGTGAATAGGCTGAGGAATAAATAACCAAAGAATACTCCAAGTTAGAAGAACTCTAAGAAGAATTAAGACAAATTGAGGTAAGGATTTGTTCATTACAAATTAAAATTGATTAACTTTAATTTGATATGACTCAAAATACTGCAGTTTGTAGCATGGAAAATATACAATAATATGAGTTAGAATTAAATGACTTTTAGTAGAAAAGAGAAAATATTTCAGAAACAATTGAATTCTAGCTATAAAAAATTGATGATTATAGAGTTATATCATCAAAAGCAAATGATTACTACACAATAGTATTAACTAATCAATACTTCAAAGATTTACCTAATTGGTGTACCAGATCATTTAGATATGTTATTGATAATTGGGTTAAAGATCATTATTAAATGACTTTATATGCTTAATAAATAGAGGAATTAAATTAAACAAATTAAGAACTAATAAATGCAAAACCCAGTCCCATAAAAAAGTCGATCAGATAAAATACTCCCATAGATGATTTGAAAAGGTAGATAAATGAGTATAAAAGAAAATTGTAAGCATTGTAAAACTAGTATCGAACAACAAGCATAGAATTAGATTATTACAAGAATTTTTATAGTGAGTAAATCAATAAATAGTAAAAAGATAGATCAATTGGATTAGGTTTATAATTATAGCATTCATAATCATATCATACATTTAGAAATTCAAATAGCAAAGAATTAAAATAAGAATAACAACTACCTTTAGCCTTGACTCATGTAAAATCGTTTGGGTAATTAGGATCAAGTATGAGAGTTAGAAGTTCTGTTTCTTAATATTGGATAGCTGAGCAGTTAAATTCATCATAAGAAATTATTAATTATGAGTAAATATTAGTATCAAATTTAGCATTGTGAAAACCCTGTAAGGGCATGATTAACCAATCCTATCATTATATACAAAAGACAATATATTGTGTTCTGGATAATACAAGTAATTTAAAGTGTGGGATATCGAATCTCAATAACTTATTAGTACAATAGATCAAAGTAATCACTGCAGATCCATATATTATTGGGCAAATCGAGATGCCTTTGCTGTTTCACATGGATCTCAAATATCTTTATATGATCCATTGACTTTGATGTGCAAAGGATTACTTAAGTCTTCAATAGAAGAAATCAAATGTATTACTAGTATAAATGGATTATTGGTTGCAGCAGGCAAGTCTATTAATTCTAATGCTTTGAATATTTGGGATTCCAGATAGAATAAGTAATTAAAATTAAATAATTTAAGTATCTTGTATGAATTTGAAAAAGGCTCAGATATCTTAAGCATATATGGTTCTGATGAAAATTCTGAGTTGATTTATGGGACATTAAAGCATTATGCCAAAAGAATACCCTTTAATAAAAATAAATATAATCAAATTTAATAGTTATAGCCACCTTAATTGGATAAGGTAACAGGAGTTGCCTCTTTTGGTGACTATATAGTGAGTTGGTATACTTATATGAAGATTATATAGTTCTTTAAGCAAAAGAATGTTACTTTGGAATCAGCAAACAGGTTTAGAATCTACTACAAATGATAGCATACATAAAGATCTGATAACTGCTTTAACAAGTACATTTTAAGACTATGTTTAGTTGATAAAAGTTTGAAATTGATTTACACATCTTGTAAGGATGGAAATGTTAGGGCCATCAAGGTTAATGAGGAAGGTAAATTCCAATTACTTCATGAAATTACTGCTTCAAATGTATTATATATTAGTATTGTAGCAATAAATTAATGCTTTGCATGTTATCTAAGACAACCATTTAGTGATAAGTGGAGGATAAGATAAATTGATTAAAATTTGGAGACCATCGAAAAACATATTACAATTGTAAAATGCTATTGGCGAATTTATTGTTGATGATTAAAATTGATATTAAATTAATAATCAACAAACATATTAAAATCATTTATTTTTTTCTTTGAATTGAGCTAAGTTTTAGTTTCTTAGATCTTCAATTTATTTGTCTTTTTATACAATAGAATTTCTTAAGCTATCGATTTCAATCATTAGAACAAACATTATAGATAACTATTCAATAATCTTTTTGTTTAGCGATCCTTCATTTGCATACTATAGTCTCCATTTCTTAAGTTCCTCTTCTTATTGAGCGACCAGGCTATTCAATCTATCAATTTCATATGATAATACTCTACACTAAAAATCATTATTCTCTTACATTTTCTTCATACTTTTTTAATTTTTCAATATCCTACTCCAGGATATTAATTTAATCATATAAGTCTTAAAGTTGGCTATCATAATTGGCCAATTTCATTCTGCTATCTGCGATTTATTTATTCAGCCCTTCGTTTTCCTAAACTCTTAGAAATTAAATAAAATATTACTTCTAAACAAGTTATTTGTTAATTTTATCTACTTCCTAAAGGAGATTGTTATATCTTCCTTCAAATTCTTCACATTTCTCTTTGAGTTTATTATGTAAGGATAGATAATCATTATTTTATTTTTCAAGTTCTGTTGTCTTTTTGGTTTAATCTATTAATTTTTAGTTTAGTTCTTAATTCCTTTTATCCAAATCTTGATTTTTCTTATCGTTTAATTTTGACAGGTATTCCAATTCTCCCATTCTTTGTTTTTCAGTAGAATTGTCGTGAATTCTTTTTTAGAGATTCTCTATTTCAGTCGTCTTTTATCTAATAATAAATTGTAATCTGTCAATTTCCTATTGCATAATTGCAAATTTTTCATCTAATGATTTTTTGTTCCTTTGGAAATCTATTTGAGATTTCTCATACTTGGTAGATTTTATCTTATATTCATCAAGTTCTTAGGTTTTTACTGATAAACCATATCTTAATTTTTCAAGTTCTTCTTAGAATATTTTGCAATCCACATTTTTTTCTTAGTTCTCGTTTTCTAATTATTACAGATTCTCACGAAGATCTTGGTTTTCTTATAGTAATTTCTATAATTCCTCCTCTATTTAATCAACTTTATATATTCGTTCTTTCAAATCTTAATTTTCTAACTAATATTTATTCAAATTATGATTAAGCCTATCTATATCATTTTGATATTAAATTATTAATGTTTCCAATTCCCTATTTTTAGAAAGATCCTCTTATTACAACATAGTTTTCAATTCTGTATTTTCCTTTTTGATTTAGTAATGCAATTCCTTGTATTTTTATAATTCCTTCTCCATGTATTCCATTTGTTGTTTCCAATTGAAATCATTCTCTTATTAATGTTTTTACTATTAGATATGAAAAATCTCAATACCAATTATTTTTGTGCTTCAAGATCTTTTTATTTAATGATAGCTAAAATCTCATTTTGTTTTTATTCCTCAAAGTCTCTTAATTTAATTCTTAGTTTTTCGATGTCATTTTTTAATAGATTCTAATTGTCTTCGCTTTTCTCATGATATTTAATTATTTCTTCATAATTGTACTTGATTTCTTCCTTCTGAATTACAACTGTTTCATATTAATGCTCTAAGTAATCCATTTTCTATTTCAAATCTATAATCTATTATTCAAGATTCATTGTATTAAATTGTTGATCCTCCATATTTTTCAACCTCTATTACAACTTGTAATTTTATTCACTAAGTCTTTCTAGTTCTATGGCCATTAAAAAGATTTGCATTTATTTCGTAATATTTTGAATTCTCCGATCTTGCTCCCCATTACTTGCAGACTCCACTCTAGTCGTCAAACCCTAGCCATTACTCTTGACAGAAGTAATATTAGTCTCAACTAATCGGTTTGTCTTTACTTGATAATATTCCATTGAAATAATTTAATAATTGTATTTTCATTCTTCAGAATCAATAATTAAACTCATTAGCATTAAACACCTCTACTACATCCAATACTTTAGGTACTTCTTCACTTATTCTTCATTTTAAATCTATTCGAATTGCGCCTACTCAATCTTTCTGAATAGTTTGAACCAGAATGGAAACTCCTGTAACTCTGAAGCAAACTAAAAGTAGCCCTGATCTTCCACAATTTAATCGACTTGAACAATAATAAGATCACATACTTGCATTAAAGCCTTTTTCAGCAATATATTTACATAGGGTAAAATCATCAAAATTAGTCCACTCCTCATTTTTGTATATAATTTACTCCTAATCTTTTTGTACTTTGTTTTTTTGGTAGTCTAATAAAATTGGTATTGATTATACATACTTTCATGCTTTATAGTGAACTTTGCTTATCTATTTTAGTAGAATTAATATTTCTTTTTCAAATACATCAATCCGCAAATTCGATAAAATATATCCTTGGGATTTATTTTGCAAAATGCAATATTTCTTTTCTCTTTGAATTATTCATAATCTAAAAGGAGGGAGTAAAATTCCTTAACGTACTTTTTAAATTCGTCATTGCTTGGTTTATACTCAGCTGAAAAACATTAGGATTTCTCTCTTTGTAATCTATTATTTGATAAACATTAGAGTATTACACTTAATAAAACTAATCTATAGAATCGAAATCCATTCCAAAGGATAAAACAAAATCAAGAAATTCTAATCTATGATAAGCGGTAAAACCATATGTCACAATATCATTGTCTACACTAAGTTATGCTAATTCAGAATGCTCGAGAACAGTCTATTAGAAAAACCTCATGATTTGTAAATCCTTGTCGATCAACTTCTACATTCTTTCAGATACTACTTTTTAATCTTTCTTGTTCTCATCATTTTCTTATTCAGATCCAGTTCCTTGGCTCTAATCAGATGGACTATATTAAGATGATGAAACTAATAATATTCTCATATACAATATACATTGATGATAATCCTCGTGGTAGTTTGGTATATTTTACTTTTTCAATCTTTTACCTTTTCCGAATTCATCCTATTCCTTTTCTGCAAATTCTTTAGCCTCTTCATCTAAGAAGGTTTCCCAATATTTATCTAAGTTCACATTCTAGTGACTCTCCTCTCCTTCTTTTTCTACTTGTTCCAAATTGAAACTTGTAAATTTAAATCCTGACAAGTAATAATCATTAATATCATTCTTTTTTAAATTAACATATTACTAATCAGATTACTACTCAATATCTCTTTATAATAGGATATTTAATTGTTCATCAGTAAATTCTTAGTCTTTCTCCTCTAAATTTTTATTAAATAATTCCCAAGTACTTTCTTTAAAGATCGATTAGAAATCATCCTTAGTAAATTTATTAATTGGATTGATGATGATTTCTTCTAAAAGTAATTTCTTAGTAGCTATCTAAATTATTCTTTCTTCAGCTGTGTATTTACTAACTAATCTAAACACTTTCACTTTATTTGTCTAACCCATCCTGTGAGCTCTGCTTATTGCTTAAAGATCTCTATAAGGATTAAAATCACTATCAGTAAAGATAATTGTATCAGCAGATGTTAAATTAATTCCTAATCCTCCAGCTCTTGTTGATAGTAAGAATATTTTTGATTTACCAGTTGAATTATTAAATGAATCTATTATTCTTTACCTATCCATAATACTTGTAGTTCCATCTAATCTTTCATAGCTATACCCTCTTAATTGTAGATAGTGTTGCATCAAATCGAGCATCATTGTAAATTAACTGAAAATAAGCATTTTATGCTACATCTCCAATAATCTGGGTATGATTCTGTCCACAAATTTCAATTTATTAGATTAATTAATCATTTCATCAATGTCCTCATTAGGAAATTCTCGTTTATAAGTAAATAGATAAGGATGGTTACATACTAAACGTAAGGACATTAAAATATTTAATAAATTTGCCTTGCTAGCTCCCTTTTTTTAATCTAAAACTTTTAATTTTTCATAATTTCTTAACATAACATTTTTATAGAGAAACTTCTATTTATCTGTCAAGCACAACTTGATAATAATTTCTTCCATTTCAGGAACTTACAATTTGACATCAGCCTTTGTTCTCCTTAGAATATGAGGTTTTAATAAGGAATTCAATTCTGTAAGTGTAGTCTTTTTAACCTCCTAAAAGTCTTCTAGATCTTGGTTATTGAATAAAACATTTAGTTATTCCTTTTTAAGTTATTTAACCTTTTAAGGAGCAATGAATTCTATTAGGTTAATGAGTTCTTATAGATTATTTTGTAATGGAGTGCCTGTTAGTAAAATAATGTGTTGACTAGAAAATTGAGAGCAGACCTTAAAGAATTTGGAGTCGTTGTTTTTTAATCTGTGAGCCTCATCCACAATTAAGCATTCCCAATTAATCTTTTTAATTATTGCTTAATCAATAATAGCAATATCATAACTAGTGATCAAGACATTAAATTTACACACATTATTGTTATTACTATAATAAAATTCTTTTGCTTTGATGATGTCTCTACTTTCCTAATTGCCTGTATAAACAATGACATTAAAAGTATCTGCCCATTTTTTTAATTCCTTCAACCAATTATATAGGATAGTAGCTGGTCCAATAATAAGAAATGGTCCTGACTTTTTATATTCATACTACAAAAAGTTCAAAAAGGAAATAGTTTGGATAGTTTTACCTAATCCCATTTCATCTGCAAGAATTACATTGTTATTTGTTTCGTATGACTTTTATAACCATTATAACCCTTGGAGTTGAAACTAATGCAATTGACCTCCAGTGATCCATACAGGTTAGTTCTTCTTGCTTTTACCGTGAGGTACTTTCAAGAATTGTTTAATGAACTACTCGTATTCTGGAGTGCCATAGGTTTCTTCTAATATTTTTGATTTTAAGAATCTTTTAAATTCATCCCTATTTTTTTCCATGATAAAATAAGCATCTTCCCAACTACTCTCTTCGTAAAACATTCGAGACCATTTAATTAAAAATTTGTAATTGTTTTTAGTTCCATATTGTGTTATCTTAGGCATCTCCTAATTATAGATTTCTCTCCAAGTTTTCTTTTGATCATTTGCTCCTCTTTTACATCCTATAATTCTTTCAGGTTCCAAATATTCCAAAATGTCTTCTTCAATATAATTTAGAGAAGCTTGTAAGTCAGCATCATTATCATTCTCTAGTGTATCTTATTTTCCTTCATTTTTCTCCACATAGTTTTTCAATTTCCTTTGATTTACTGTTTGTACTTATGCCTAACTAAAAAAGTGACAATGTAAATAGGATGATTATTCAGGTAGAATTAAATAACATTATTTTTCTTTGAATTTCAAATGAGTCAAGATTTACCCAACTCCAAAGCTTTATAAACATCTTAAACAACAATGAAAGATCAATGGCGAAGTCTTTGTGGGTCTATCAGCCAATAATAATTGTGAAAATTGTTCTTCTGAAATCTGTTTCCGATTGATAGGTGATCTGAGAATTGCTTCAAAAGGAATGTCTTTCAAAATGCATTCAAAATGAATAAAGGTATTACATTTTGAACATATAATCTTTTCATTTGTACTTTATTCATCACAATAGGGACAATAAGATTACTCATATTGACAACATTATGGACAATACCAAGAACCTGGAGGCATCTTTTTGATTCCTACACATGCCATATGAAATGATCTATAGCATGAATCACAACACAACAAAGGTCTATTCTTTTACCTACATTTCCAACAATAATCTTCATTATAATCTGATTCATATTAACTATCTGATTATTCATCCTCTTCCTCGTCTACCTCTACTGAAGACTCCTGGCTTAATTTTCTTAGTTTCCTCGATTTTTATGCTTTCTCACATGATTTGATTATTTAATCTATTTCCTCCTCATCTTAAAACTGCTTTTATTCAAAATACAAATTTTACTTTATATCGACTTGGTTTCCTTACTCTTTTTTCTTGATTCTCGCGCTAATTATTACTTCTCATTAATTTATAATAAAATTAAAACAAATTTTCACTTAATCACATAAATCATTTCAGTATTGTTACCAATTATTAAACAAGCATTCGATCATACTATCCCCCAGCCTAATGATTCATTTGAATCCACTTATGAACAGCCATCTATTCCAGTCTCAATCTTTGAGAGGGATCCTTCCTCAAACAGCATTTTGAAAAATCTTATAATTCATTAGAAACATATTTAGGAAAATCAACTCTACCTTCTATGATCTTTCTCATGGTATCTTCTTTAGATGATTAATAAAAAGGTGTGGTTCCTGTAGTCAACTCATACGCTAGGATGCCTATGGACCACAAGTCAACTGAGTGGTCATAGTCTTACCCAGAAGCTATCTCTGGAGACATATAATCAATTGTGCCGCAAAAGGATTACCTAGGTTTAGATTCTGGTGAATATGTGGCTAATCCAAAATCAGCTATTTTTAGAAATTACTAATTTAATTCATCTATATTACTAGACTAATTAATATGTTTTCTGGTTTAATATCTCTATGAATCACTTTCATTTTATGCATATATGAAATTCCTTCCACAATCTATGCAATATAATTTCCAGCTTTATTTTCACTGAATCTACGATTTGGTTGTTTCTTAAGCAACTTATATAACTCACCATCTGGTGCATATTCTAAAATTAAAACGATCTAATTTGTATAATCCTCAATTAAATACCTTAGTTTATTCTTAGAATACACCAAATAGTTTAAGTATATTTGGATGATTGAGATAACTCTAAATTTTTATTTCATGAGCCAATTGAGCCTCCATTTTATATTTGCTGATGACACTTTTTTGAATTACTTTTAAAGCCACTAACACTTTTGATGATTTCTCTCTAATATAAATTAATATTTTACTATGCTTAAAATACATCACTAAATTTGCCTTTGCCCAAAAATTTGCCTATATGGAATCTATCTGATATATTTTGATATTTTGGACTTAACATTTCAGCTGCCTTCAATTGCATTCTTATAAGAGAATTATGAGCTATTGATGAAATGGGAGATGGACAGTCTGCAGTTTCAGGGGTTCTAATAGGAGATTTAGACGCACACTGTCTGATTGCAGGTTTGTCTCTCTTTTCAATAGATCTGCTGTTATGTTGAATGATCAAAGGAACATTGGTTTTTGGAAGGATTGGGTCAGGATTGCTAATTTTATTGTTTTCTTCGGATTGAATGATAAGCTAGGTCAATGCTGACTATAATCTCAATTTGATATTCTTGATTTATTAATCTATCTTGGTGGTTGTTTGGACCACTTTTGACCACTCGTTGTCTTCGGATTGCATAATTGAATAATAATTTATTGAATATAATATATATGGGCAGTGGGACATCAAACAATCAGTTAAACAATTATAGGTATCTATGATTTAGACTGGTAAGGATGCTATCTCTACTTTAAGAGCCTGAAAGATTGAAAACAGATCCCAGTGATTTTAATCTCAGATGGGATGATACAACTTTGTTTTCGCATAAAAATAAACTCAAACATTAGACTAATCTTCTTGAAATAGTCAGAAATGTACCTTCTAAAATAGTTCTAAATCAAAATCCATAAAATTTGTAAGCCTTTAATGCGAAGTCTCCAGGGATCAAGAAGCCCTTCCTTGAGTATGCAACTACAAATCTGATTGATGTAATTCGGAAATCAAAGAAAATAGAGGTAAAATTGAGTATATTGTATGAGAAAGTAGAAATATCAATGGAAAAATATTTGAGCATTAAGGAATCCTAAATGCTGAGCTCTCAGAGGCAGAAACAGCCCAGGAAATCCTTATAAGTCTAACACACTCTAGAAGTGGTCCAAACTTCGCACTTAGAGAAGAGTGTAAATGAAGAAGGCATGGCATAAATTAACTAATATACTGTCTTGGAATCTTTGGGACAAGGGGCCTTTGGAAAAGTGAAAAAAGCATAAAATTTTAAAGGCGAAATCTTAGTAGATATATTATCTCAATTTCTTAGGCAATTAAAATAGCAAATAAAAAAAAGTTAAAAAAGAAACTGCTCTCAAAATCAAATGCTTATACGATGTTAGAAAGAGAAATAGCTATCATGAAAAAGGTATCTAGACTGTTAATTAGATATCCCACGAAAATGTTGTTCAATTATTTGAGGTCATTGATGACCCAAACAAAGATAAACTCTATTTGGTAATGGAATATATGGGCAAAGGAAGTATCTTAAGCAAAGGGTTCTTTAAAAAATAGAAAACCACCTCCAACATACTGGATGAAATTGAGGACAAAAATCCCTTGTCTAAATTGACAGAAGAGCAATGTCGCCATTACTTTTCTGATTTTATTAAAGGGTTGTATTACTGTAAATAGTTTTCAATATTCAGTGCATGAATGTGTCAATGTGATTCATAGAGATATCAAACCAGAAAACCTATTGGTCAACATAAATGATCAGCTTAAGATTGCAGATTTTGGAGTTTCTCATATTATGGAGGATGGAGGAGATGGTCGTATATCCAATTAGACAGGTACTCAAGCATACTTAGCTCCAGAGGTATTTAAAGGTAGGAATCGAGTCTATTATTTAGGATAGAATTTTGATGGAAAGCCAGTTGATATCTGGGCAGGAGGAGTAACTCTGTATTAGATGGTCTATGGAAAACTCCCATTTACAAGTCAAAAATCAATGGAGTTGAGATAACAAATATTGGAGGACAAGTTAGTTATTATTTTTTTATATAGTCCTCCTTTCTCTTAACCCTAAGGATTTTCAAATTCAATTATTAAATTATTGTAAGGGTTATTATAGAAGTCGCCTGAAAAAAGGTTGAAAATTGATTAGATTATTATGGATGATTGGGTAACTGATTTCGGCAAGTAGCCAATAATTAATTAATATATTGAATATGTTGATGTCACAGAAATGGATATTAGATTTGCTTTGACGAGTCTTAATATTTAAATGGCTTTGAAAATAGTTGTAAAATTGCTTTATTAAGCCAAAAAAGCTAGAAGGAAAATTGCAGAAAGAAAAAAGATGCAAAAATGATCATAAAATAATCTTTTTATTAGAACATCAATTTTATTTTTAGTATTTATGATTCAATACATAATCCAGAAACTTTAGAAATTATTTTTATAATAATGACATTCAGGTATTCTTCAGAACTAACACTGAACATTTACGAAAAACCTCCTCAAAATCCAGAATGGCTTCAAAAGTAAGAGAATATAGATTTAATCTTGAATAAGATTAAATAACATAATTTGCTTAAGAGAATTCATTATACTAATAATGAGCAGCTACAAGTATTTGAAATATTTAATTTAAGGAAAATGACCCTTTATTACTCAGAAGTCATAGACTTAACAAAAAATTGGAGGAGTTCGATCACTTTCATGAAGAATAGTTAGAAACTTATAGAAAGATTTTACAATCTGATAGGGAGCAAATAACAAATGCAACTTCTCAAAGAAGAAGGATGGGTTCATTTGTTAAACATGTGAGAAGCATTAGCACGACAGTTTTGAAGCCGTACTTAATTTATTTTTAACAGTAGACTTATTTAAGTCAATAACATTGTAAGTGTGTAAGGGAATGAGAAAAGGTAGGAGAACCAGGTTACAATGAGATAAAAAATTAAATCAATACAAGAAAATAGAAAAACAATTGAGAATTGTTCTAAAAGACTTTAATAATTATTTAAAGAGGATTCGTCAAACTAAGCTTCGAGAGTCTAGAGTCATTTGGAGTAAAGATCAAGAAAGAAAAAAATTTCAATTGACATGATTCGAAACCTTTATTGAATTGTAAAATATAATATATGTTTATGTATCTTTTAAAGAATGTTTTAAAACCACAAAATTATGAAAAATTCAAAGCATAAATTACTTTACTTTTTAAAAATGTATACTTCTACTTCTATTACTAATAAGAACTAATCCTTCAAGAGAGTTAAAGAAAGACTGGTTTGTGAAGCAATTGAAAAAGTCGAGAGATGGAGATTAATGTTTACTGAGGGATTATAAACTAACAACGGAGAAATAATCAAAGTCACCTTGAATTAAGCTGCCGAAATAGTTGGAATTCCCAAAAAAACCCTTGAGGACTACACTTAACTATTCAAAAAGGTGAAATTACTCACGGCAGACATAAAGCAGTTTTCTAACGAAAAGATGGGATTTCTGAGAAGTTACTTGAGAAAGAATCAAAACAAACTTAAAAAGAAGCTTAAAGACTTGAGAATAAAGGAACTTGAAGACTAAAGGAAGACCTAAGAACTCATTTAAGAGTAGAATTTATTACTAAAATAAAAATTACACGAAGACACTGAAACCACAGATATTTGTGGATCTCATTAAGAATCATCAAATCAAATGATATGTGATGATTAAAATTATATTGACACAGAAATATAATGTCTACAGGTATTCGATTTTTAATATATAAATAGGAGGAAGATTTAAACTTTTAAGATTTTGAAAGCCACTAGTATTATTTCAACAGAGTGGGCAATTTCCAATAGGAAGAAGATATTGACAACTATTTCCAATCGACCTAATGACAAAAAATGAAATATTTTTTAGCACATATTAAACATTATTATTTAATGAAGTCATCATACGAAAATTCTGTAGTTCTTTATTTATTTGAGTATAAATTATTCTATAATAAATTAATCATTAATATGACTTTTAGATACGAAGTATTTGGGAAATACAATGAGACCACATTAAAAGAATTGAATGGCACTAAAATATTCTTTTTCCTTTAGAATTAGGTCAATGTCAAATCTTAATAATTAATTAACATAATATTAGATGGCAATCAAAAATCTCTAATAACTAGTTTAACAAAAGAAATTTATTCAAAATTTTGTCAACAATGTGATTTTTCAATAAATGAAGAGATCAATCCATCTAATGTCTAATTAGCATAATAATTTTCTCAATATCTATCAAGAATAACAATAGAATTGTAGGAATTATATTTTTTGTAAATCTCAATCAATGACACAGATACTTAATAATTCTAATTTGAAGCAACTTCGGTTATTGATATATAAAAGGAGATGTTCTATTAAGTATTGGAATAGATTTATGGACATGAGATTGGAAACTTTAGAAATCCAGAAGTAAGCATTTCAATAGCATTTGTTGAATATTTTAGACAGGTATTGATTAAAAAGTTTAGAGGATATAAAATGAACTATAAAAAGAAGAAATAATTGTTTTTATTATAAAATGGAGATATGTATTTTTTGATGTAATTTTAGAATAGTATCTTAATTCAATAATTAAATGACAATCCCACTATCAACAAGTAGAGTGATACACTTTTAAAAACCGCGCTTCTGTTATTAATAAAGTTTATTATCAGAATAATCTTTAATATAAATTGTTAGTGAGGGTTTTTTGGATGAGAATTTCGATTAGAATGGATAAGCAATTGTTTTATCTAAGGGTAATTTGGTTTATTAAGGAAATATGTAAGCTGGTTTATTAAATGGCGAAGGAACAATAAAGAATCTATAAAATTAAATAATTTATTAGGGAAATTTTGTTCATAACAAAAAGCATGGCTTTGGAAATATCTTGTACAATAACAGGTATTATTGTGGATAATTCAATGATGACATGATGAATGGATAATTCTAGATATGCAATGAAAAAAATGGATGTACTTACTATTTTTATCGCAACCAATAAGTTAATAAATAGGATTTCGAATAACAGAATTGCTACTAAATAAAATCTCAAGAGGGAGTTTAGACTATTTCAAAAGTTCTATCAAATACATAGGTTTCATAAAGTATTTGTTCATATAAAGACTTTGACATCACAATATAGGCTTATGATGCCTTAAACATTGGACATTGGTTGTTTGAAACTTCATTAGATTATTTTTTGGATTGCTTCAAGCATTTTTTTACTTATTCTGAATAGGCTACGAATGGGTAAACTGTAATTTTTAATACAAGTGAAACCTCAAATTATATCAATTGCGATTATGAATAGAAGTTCTATTATCATGAAAAGTAAATAATGATAAAAAAATAATAGACTGTATTAGGAATTGAATAAGGATATTAGGGATAAGAAAAGGAAAGTGTTTGTAATGAATTCTTAAAGATCACATTTCTTAGTAATGATAGAGGACAACAAATAACTATATGCTTGTGATTCTTTGTATCATGTGAATAAGAATCTTGAAAATGCTTTTTATAATTTACTAAAATTGGAAAATAGAAGTTGCAGAGTATTGAAGTGTAGTTAATAGAGAAATGGCTATGATTGTGGCATATTTGCATTGTTTTATGCTATTTAATTTATGAAATATGATAATTTGAATATGAATGAGATGGAGAAGAAATTGTGTTTAGAAGATCCTGCTTAAATTAGATGGCAATTGAAACAATTTGTAAAATATAATCATGATTATATATTAACAAACTTTTGAATTTTAAAATAAATAATGAGCAAGCTATTCTTTCAAGATTTCCTATCCTCTAGAACCAGATCTATGTAAGATAGGAAGAAGATGGTTAAAACACAACAAGAAATAGAGAGAATAAGTGAGAGAAAAATAAGTGAAACATTAAAATCTAACGAACATATTGTTGATGAACTTAGACTGTACAAGATGAAATTGGAGAAACAGGTTCAAGATTATTAATAAAAAGTATTGCATTTATGAAGAATAGAATTTAGAATTGGTTGAGAAGGTATCCTATTTAGAAGTGCAGAATACAACATTATTATATGAATTGGAAACATCCAAATTGAAATTAGAAACTATTGCTAATGCATAATAGTCATCATAAACATAATAAATTAACATATTGAAAGAATAAGTAGATTCATTAATTAAATATAAAACTGAGAATGAATCCTATAAGGCATAAGTGGTAACATTAAAGAATGAGAATTAAAACTATTAGCAGGAGATTAAAGAATTAATTGAAACGAATGCCTAAATCAAATCTTAATATTCGAGTATAATGAAAGAAAATAAGAGATGCTAATAATAGTTGGATAATAGTTAAAATGAATTCTACAAATTATCAGAAAAGGTATTATCTATTATTTTCTAGATTCTAGTTCAATCAATTTGAATCTATGTACCATAGTAAAATTAAGTATTATGAGGAACTCCAAAAATAGTTTGAGTTAGAATAACAAAGGGCAAACTTTTAATATTAAGAGTTGGTAAGAGAGCTGCATCTATTGGAAAATGAAAATTAATAATTATATAAATAGTTATAGATTAGTCAATTTGAAAAAGATGAGAAAGATAAAAAAACAAAGGATGAATAGAATTAATTAAAATTGGAATTACACAAAATTTAAGATGAAAATAAAATATTAGAGAAATCACACAGGACTTTAAAAATAGAAAAAAAAGTTATTTATGACAATTAGAATCAAAATAAATAGAAAATCAATAAGTTGGAGTAAGACTTAAATTAGAAGGATCAAATAATAAAATAAATGGAATAAGAGTTACAAGAAAAGGTTTTGATAATTCATTAACTTGAAAACATTGCTTATGGATTAAAGTAGAGTGCTTAGGAAGGGAAAGAAAATACTAATTAAACATTATTATAATATAAGGATTTAATGAAGGAATGTGACTAGCTGGAACAACAAATAGCAAGATTAGAATAGGATAATGATATTGTAAAAAAGGAATATGAATAGGTGTTGTATGAATTAAAGGATACCCAACAAGAAAATAGGTAATTATAAGAAAGAAATGCTTTACTTATCAAGGATAACTAATAAATATAGATTGAGAACACTGGTTTATAAATGGAGATTCAGAACTTAAATTAAAGAGTTGCAGAATTATAATCATATGCAGTTGAATTTTAAAGGGAACTTAAAGATCATATAGAATAATAAAGTAAAATAAATTAATAAAGATCTTTTTAAAACTCTCAATATCTGTAGAATTCTGCGACTTTAAGTAATCAAAGAAATAGTTATAATTCAATACAAAGAGGCACAGATGACTCTCAAGCCATGGGCAATCAATCACCCTTATCGAATTAGACCAATACAGTGAACCAATTAAAAAAGTTAGTTAAATAATAATGTGTAGAAGGAAACCCAAATCTTGGTCAATAATCTATTGAGAATACAAAAAGACACCAAGCAAGAACTGATCATTTTTCCAATTCAAGTAAACTATAAACTGATAGGTAATTTGATGATCATTCGAAAGAAAATTGCTTATAAATTTTATAGGACAAATACTATGCTTTAAGGAACAGAATTTACGAATAAAAAAAATGAAAAATATAACTTATTAATTTTATATAGTAAACAAATAATATATAAAAAATCAACAATTCTTATGCTTAACCCTTAATGGGTTCAAATCTTATTCTTGATGCTTTGATTTAATGAGTTTGGGCTTGATGAATGTTTAATGATTTGTGATGATATTCAGAGGCATTCTTGCGTTTTGTGTAACTCTAGTGACAGGAGGCATAGATTTGCAAGTAGAAAGTGTAACAGGTGACAAGGCTCTTGATACACTTTTTGTATTGCTTAAGGAATTGTTTTGTAAAAGATTATTGAGTTGACCATAAGTATCAATTAACAATTGATTTTAATCTTCCTCAAGTAAACCTTATAATTAATGTGGACTAGTGAACATAACCAAAAAATTACTACAGAGGATGCAAATGGCATTGTTTTCTCATATATAAAATAATAGCCATAGCTAAAATCTTAGTATTAATTTGCATCAATTAAGGTATTTTGTTTACTTGATAGACTATTTTGGAATGGTCTTTTAGCATTTTACAACATATAAAATTAATCATATTGTAATCCATGATTCCATCATGAGAGTCTGTAGAAAAGAAAACTCCTAAGGATAAGAGACTTTAAACTTAATCATATAAAGTGTTAACTTTGAGTTTCCTATGAGAATATGTATATTAAATTACCAATTTAATGTTTTTAAAACTAAACACTCTGCCTGTTTGTATTCATTTTTATTTAAGTTTAAATCACTTGCTTTAGATAGTTTGCTCATCCCTGGAATGTGTGCATCGTCTTCAATCATTTTAGAACTGGCCATCAAACACATTAAGGAAATCAATTTGGGATTTTGACTTTGGAGTAAGTGTTAGCATCTATCCAAATAGTGAATGGCTAAATGAACAGTTTGATCAGTTAGTTATAGGCTCTATTTAGTTTAAAAGAGGAAATCAATTAATTCTTCTCTTCGTTCATAGTTTATGCTAATATTGCTTAGATCATCGAAAAGATTTTTTGCTTCCTGATGACTCTTAAAGGAAATATGTTTATAAGCAATAGATCCATCTTTATAAGTAGCCATTCCACACAATTTGCATATGTTTTTATTTGGTTTATGTTGGCAGTTTAGCATTCGTTAAAAATTAAATATATATATATGAATCATTAAGAATGTTTGATTTTTCTTAAGGTCTTTTTTCTTCTTCAAGATTTTCAAAAATTCAAATATGAATCAGATGGGTGCTGTCCAGTTCTTATGAGATCATCAGAATCCAGAAATCTTTGAATTATAGTTGAGGATAATAAGCAATTGGATTTAGGATCTTTCTTTACAAATATTTGAAATAATCTTTATGTTTAAAATAGAAAATCAGTTTATTTTTTTGTGATCTTTTGTAATCTATAATTTGCAATGATTTCTTCCTATTATTTTTACTTATTAATTTAAAGATGTTATTATTTGTTTATTATGAATTTTGAAATAAACTACATAGAAACCGAATTTCATTTTTTTAAGTTTTTGGTTGGTTCTTTTATTTAGAAACCTACATTTATGAATAAAATTGAGGAATAATAGCACCTAATCATTCAGAAAGTAACATGTGATAAAAACCTTATAGTGATATGCATTACATTAAATTACTCTTATTTTCATTCATACCTAAATAAGTTGGCGAATAATTAGAGAGCAGAATCTATGTATAAATTAATGGATATGTATTTCTCTTCCATTCTGTAGTAAGCGTTAAATTCAATTTACTAGACAATTAATTATTATTGCATATCCTTGTAGTTTCAAATTGGCCTTTGCTTTTGAATTATGGCAATTAATCTGAGATCTGGTCTTTAAAAGGCTTTAAAAATGATCAAAGTTGTCTAGGAACTTGTGTTTGTAAATTAAATGCTTCAATTCTTAATTAATTATCCATTAAATGAATTAATAGGCAGAAAAACTACGTCTTTATGCCCAAGAAAATGTGGTGTTTCTACTCTAGAAATTGATGGAGGATATTCTGGCCTAATAGCCGAAAAATGTGGTAAATTCAAATCAAAAATATTAGATTGATTGGTCTATAGCATGGTTGGATAAATAAGGAAGGGATATTGTTAAATCAAGATAGAAAAAAAATGCGCTTTCATCCTCCTCTGATGAAGAAGTAATAGAATTGCCTAAAAGACCTGCTGCTGCTAGGAAATAAAGAGCCTCTATTTCAGCTGAAGCCTATGGATAATACAATAGAAAGGAGGTGTATATTTAATATTAAAATAACAGTCATTTTAACCTAGAGTGATTGTCAAGACTCAACAATAGAAGGAGAAAATAGGGAAAAGACTAGAGCAATCATTCATGTTTGCATCACTTGACTAAAGAGAAAAAGACATCGTAATTGATGCAATGGAAGAACGTAGTTATAAGTAAAATTTGATATGCAATATTAGTGCAGAGGATTGGGTCATCCAATAAGGTGACAACGGTGATAATTTATATGTTGTCGATTAAGGGGAGCTTAATTGTTATAAGAGATTTACAAAAGATGGGGAAAACAAATTTTTAAAAGTTTATTATCCCGGAGAATCATTTGGAGAGTTGGCCTTATTGTATAATGCACCCAGAGCTGCTTCAATTCAGTGTAAAACAAATTCGATCTTATTTGCGTTGGACAGATAAACATTTAATCATATTGTTAAGGATGCAGCAATGAGGTATGCATTACTTATTATATTCTAGAAAGAGGGAAAAATATGTAAATGTCCTTAAGCAAATCGAATTGCTTTCAATGATGGATCCTTATGAAAGGTCTCATGTTGCAGATGCAATTAGAAGTGCCAATTTCTAAAACGGAGATTATGTCATTAGGGAAGGAGAATAAGGAGATATATTTTATATGATAGAGGACGGAGATTTGATTGCCACTAAAACACTGGTTCAGGGATAAGAGCCAGTTAAAGTCTTTCAATATAAAACAGGTGATTATTTTGGAGAATTAGCCTTACTCAAGGACATTCCAAGATAAGCCAATATTGTTGCATAAGTAAATTCATTATTCATACTTTATATAGACAGAAGTCAAATTGATATACTTGGACAGACATAGTTTCAAAAGAATGTTAGGACCTCTAGAAGATATATTAAAAAGAAACACTGAGAAATATCAAAAATATGAGTAATATTGGATCAACTAAGGTTAATGAAAAATAGATATATTATTTAAATTTTTCTCTTTTCTTTGTTCTTTTCAATTTTAAACATTTTTGTACTTCTTCAATATCACTACTCTCTTCTATGAAAAAGTTAAAATTTTTGATTTCTATTTATTAAAACATTCTTGCTTAAGTTTGAAATTGTAAAACAAAGCAATATGTAATTTTTTATAATTTAATCCTTCAATTACTCAAGTATACATTTTTGAGGAAAATGAAATTTCAAATTTTACGACTTTTCAGAATGAAAGTCTAATAAAAATAAAGATATGAATTTTATTACTAATAATCATTCATTCACACATCATCAAAAATTATTTAGATTGCCAAATAAATTATCTTTCTGCAGGAGGAGTCATTCTCAATAGGATATGAGTCTATTAATTCAATTGAATAATATTACTCTTCTTGCTTACTGTAAAATTGTTTTGCCTTCAATACTATGAGTAATTGCTTCGTTATAATCTAAAATTCCCTTGTTCCAAGGATCTGCTTTGTGATACAATAGTAACTATGCTATGTCATTGTTATTATGTAAAAGTGCAAGAAATAAGGGAGTTCGACCTATCATATCCTATGCATCTGGGTCTGCACCACTTTTAAGAAGAATTAATGCTGCAGCTCTACAATTTCTTACGCAACACCAATGAAGTGCTGTCATAAAAGAAGGATCATATTCATAGACGAGATATTTCTCTAATTCTAAGAGTTACTAAATTTAATCACCCTTATTCATTTTACATAAACAAAAGAACCTTTCACTCCTTGGGCTTTGATAAGGCACTTTTGGAAATACATCCCCTTTAGAAAATTCTTCTAGAGTTAATTTTAATTTATGTATATGTGTCAGCAATTAGACCATTTCCAATCTAATTCGTTTATATTTTGTTTATTTCCTCTATTGCAATTGATTGACCCATGGCTTTACAGAGTTTATTAGTTTCTTTACAGTTCTACTACCGAACATTCGAATCTCTAATTAATAGAATATATACATTGAAATCTTCGATTGTTTTCTCTAGAGAGCCTTCGATATGATAGAGTTACTCTTATTTTTCATATTATCTCACTGATTTTATATAAGCTACACTTTTGCTTTATTATTCTGGATTAATTACTTAAGGCAAAACAATTAAATCATGTATTATTTATTATTATTCGAATGTTTATTATTATAATTTCAAGTTCTTTTTAATTTTTTGAACATTTGCTCTTTAATTAGACGTGTTATTTCGTAAAGTGATATTCTCAAATACTTACTTTGGATTAGCATAATATTACTTTTTAAATATTTAGTTTTCTTGAATGTCTATAAATCTTGAAGGCTTATTATTGTTACGAATAGGTTTTTTGTCCTCAGCTATAATGGATCTGTTTTTATTTTTTATTTTATATGATAAATTTTTGTCACCACTATGAGTAGGGATTACAATATCTCTCATTAAGATACTTAATTTCACTTTAGCATTAGAAATATTTAGAGAATTGAAATATCCCAATTAGCTTAATTTTCTATTTTTTGGTTTCTATTGGGGTTGAATAGTCAAAGGTTCTTTTTTTTTAATAAGCTCGATAAGTGTACTCTATTCTGTTTTGACCCTTCTCATATATTTATAAATTATTTTATTTATCACTTGTAATATATAGTTATTAATTAACAAGACTTATTCGTTAACATAAATCACAAAAGACAATAGAAGATCTCTTTATGAAGAATGAAGCGCTGAACTTTAAATTTGCCTATTTTTTTATCTATTTGTCTTTACTGAAATTCTGAAAGTGATAATTAAAATTTAATTAATGTTTCAAAATATTTTGCATACTTAGGCTACTATAATAGATGATAATGTTCTATTAAATAAAGGTAGTTTTTTTAATTTTCATAGATTTTATCACGTTCATCTTTTTCATCTGATTAAAAAGATGAAATAGGTTTAAAATAATTTGGAGGAGATTGAATAAGCTTGATGATTTATAAATACCAATAGCAAACTCATAGTTAGAAAAATTTATTTAAAACATAAAGAGTTTGTTATTTATAAATAATTATAAAACTCATTTTTTATAAAAAGTAATTTTTTTTGATTTCTAGTTATCAGGATGTGGATAAGTGAATTCATCTATAGCTCTTGTAAAAATGATGTCAGAAGATTATGATTTATATAATCATATCAATTTTGAAAACAAAGATTTTTTGATCAATGATTTATTTATACGAGAAACAATAAATTTACAAAAAGCGAGATATAAGTAATATTTATTAATTCATAGAAAAAAATACAATATACATCAAAGTTTTCATCTCAATACTACTACTTTTTTTAGTTATGAAAAATGGATGTGAAGGGGTAAATTTAATTTGAGAATTTTTATTTTCATTTATATATATCCCTTTTTAATATTTTTCTATCTCAGCACGATAATTTAAATAAATATCTCAATTTTCTCAACCAAATGTCTCTATCATTGTAAATTCATGCTGAAAAACGATAGTAATTTGTTTGCCAACAAGTTAATGGGCTACAAGCTCTATTTCAAAAGTGGACCAATACCAACAATCTTAGTGAAGATATTAATTAATCCTCCTTAATAGAAGAGTAAGTCACTTAAAGCAAAACAGCCACAAATAATTCTCATTTTTAAGGTTTCCTAACCTGCTTACTTTCATTGAATAACGACCAACTGAAATGCTAAACTATCAAATCCCTTTAATAAAATTTTGACTACATGCATTAAGTTCTAGAAAATGAGCTTAAACTCTATCAATAACGCCTAATTACCAGGGATCTAAACCAATTAGAAGAAAAGAAAGGTCGTCAGTTTTCAAAAAAGTCTAAAATAATTCTTAAAGTGTGGTTGTATAGACATTTTTCATATCCGTATCCAACAAAGGAATAAACAATATAATTGTCTGAGAAGTGAAATCTTACATGCAAATAGGTAGTCATTATAATTTAACAATTAGATTTAAATTTGGTTTATAAATGCAAGAGTTAGAATAGACAACAAAATTTATGAGAAAAAGAAATTTAATAACATTGTAAAATACAAATACTTCTCAATTAATAAGCCTTAGGTGAAGCTCAGATGATGAAATTATATAGATCAAAGAAAAATAAAAATTCTATTTCGTTCTATTTTATAAAGTTTGCTTCTTAAATAATCTATCACCCATAGAAATTTATAAATCTCTAAGATATAACTTCAATATTGTAAAATAAAAAGAAATTTCATTTCCCAAGTTTAAAATTAATAAATCTTCTACATATTGGAAGAATAATTTTATGCATTAAATAATTATAAATATAAATTAATTATCAAGATAAGTAGGTAAATTCCTTTGCTTTAAGTTCATATAATTTTGAATTATTCATTCTTATTTACTACATTAAATCTGTCATCTCCTATTTTATGTTCTATTTTTGCTATTCAGATAATTAAGTATTCTTAGAGAACTACTAAAATAATGTTTAGTAATGATTATTTAATCGAAATGCTTCTTTTTCTACTTCGATTATTTAGGAAAGCAACAATTTATATTCAACATCTCTAGTTGATGTTTATGGTTACTACTAAGGAACCAAATCATTTTATGAATGAGATGTAGTTAATTACAATGTCTTGTCATTATGTAAAGCATGATAAATTTCTTTCTTATCATCATCATTTAATTCAGATTCTTCCTCATAATTTCTTCTCTCTCCTTCTAATTTTTAAGACAAATCTTAAATTTAAAGGTTAAATTAATTTATGAGTTCATCGTTCATCTATTTTAATTGTTCCTGTTGAATTTACAATTATTCTAATTAAGATTTCAAATTTATTAACTCCTGATCTTTAAAGAGGAGTTATTATTTTAACTGTTTATTTAAATCTTCTAAATCTTCTATTATTTGTTCTTCTTCCTACAACTATTGATGATAATCACTGTTTTTATTTCTCAATTCTTGCATTGCACACGATACTTCTTCTTGCACTTATTACATTTAAGATTCGAAGAAGCTCTTTATATCTGTATATTATTTTTACAGCTTTTAGATCTCTAGTTTTTAATGATGTACAAGATCCTTATAAGTTTTTTCTAGTTCCTTTATTTATTCCTACTAATCTTACTTTTCTTTCATCAATATATTGTTTTGGTTTTTCATTTCTTGATATAGTTTTTATTAATACTGTAATTGTTTTTCATACTATTATTCATTATCTTCCAATAATAATCTCTGATCCAATTTTAGTTTATTAAGCATTTATCTCTCTTTTCTTAATTCATCGAGAGTACTCTAAAGTAGACCATCTTAATCACTCCTGCAAACTTCTATGTTCTTAAATCGTTCATTTTGAAATTGCATTTATTATTTCATTTCTTCTAATTATAATTTATATTATCGATTGAGTTGGTCGATGCATTAATCCTTTTCTTATTTTAATTGATTTAGCTATAGTTCATAGGATTGTAACAATTATTTATGATCTGAATCCAAAACAACATACTGCTATTATAGATTTTAATAAATTGAATTGATTTCATTAATAGTGCTTTATTAATTTTAATAGTTTTTTAACTGCTCTTTCAAACTATCATTTTCTGTTTTAAGTTCAATATTTTTTTTTTATAGGGCTTGTAAAGCTTATATTTATGAGTTGCTTCTTTAAGTTGTCTTGTCGGGCGTTTAAATTCTTGTGTGATAATTAGATCGCTAATCGTTTGAGATTGAAAATGAATTTTCCTTGTTGGTAGAATTTTAAAGGTTAGGCAAAGGAGCTATTTAAGCCATATATTAATCAAAGATTTTTTGAACTTTCACACTGCTGCTTCTGATAGAGCATGTTGATGTGTCGTTGTCCATACTTATTACTTATTTAATTTAAATAATATTTTGAGAAATTTTATACTTTATTTCTTTAAGAAGTCTATATAAAACAATTTCGGTCAAGTTACATTATAAAGATAAGTCTAAATTAAAATTTTGCTCATATTTTTTGATTCATTTAGATATTCTTATAGACCTTTCTATATAAAAGATTTTTAATGGTAGAAATTACAATGAATTAATAGAACATTCAAATAATTTAATCTATATTTAAAAGATATAAAACATTATATTACATTTATGGTTCATTTATAAAATAGAAATCATTTATTTAGTTTTAGAATGATAATATTATTATTAAAATTGTAATAAAAATATTGCTTCATCTTGTAAAATGTAGAATATAACTATTATAAGAAGTATAAAATATATAATAAATATCATTATGAAAGAAAAATAGATAAAGCTTAATTTAAAGAGTAATTAAGAATGAATTAGAATAAAGACTTTTAATGTAGATATTATTAAGATTTTAAATAACAATATTGACTGTGGTTGAAATACAATGATATAATATCCAAAAAAATTTAGATCTTATAAATCCTAAGCAACATAGACAGAATATGAAAGATGATAAGAAAGTAGTCTTCTGTGAAAAGCAAAGAAAATACTTTGACTTTTGAGTAATCCACACCTTGACTATCATTTAGAAGGTAGAATATTAAAGAAGATAGCGAAGTAATTTAGAAATAATTTTAATTGTTGTTCCAAATTTATAATTTAAAAAAGTAGAAGTTCAGAATATTTTTTATCTATTTTATTGAAATTTTAAAGAACTAGTATAATTCAAAAGGAATACATTAAAATTCAATGGTGGAACATGGTTCTTTCTGGTTTGATTGAATCAATTGAAGAATGTAAGCAGACATATAATTTTAGTTTCAATGATGAATTCCTTTAATTAATCAGAGATTCAAATATGAAATAATTTCATTTGATTAACTCAAACCATATCAATTTGAATCAGATCAAAAAGAGAGGTTTAGAGGCTTGTATCAAAAAAGGAAGTGGATGGTTGAATTAAGATACAAATAGCATGTTCATCAAAAGCATGCATAAATTATTCTCTTAAAAAATAGTAGATTTGAGAATTCTTCTTTGTTTAATGAAAAATGGTTATTTATAAAATAATGAAGTTATTATTCTATGAAATCAAATTATTTTTCTTTTGTATTTATTGTGAATTGCACTAGAAAGAAGTTTTTTTTATGAGGATTATATAATTGTAGCAGGCTTCTTTCTAAATCCCATATTGCTGGATTATAAAGTTCGAGTTTAGGGTATTAATCTTATTGTTTATGAAAAATTCAATTTACTTTTTTGGTGGGGTTAGGTGTGTTTCCACTTCATCTTCCCAATCTTGATCATCTATCTCTCTTTAGAACTTATTTTTAAAAAAGTCAATGGAAAGCTGAGGGTCTTTAAGCAATTCTTCCTATTCAGACACCGTAAGTAATTGATTAATGTCCATCTCAAGGGTTTCTTTAGGAAGTAGATTAAACAAATTATTAAAGGACTTTTTGATCCACATCTTGGAATTGTTAAAGTTCTATAGGTTAGATTCCTTGGCTTCTTCGATCAAAATAATATTTGTTTAAATTAGTTCTTTGAGTATAGACTTGTCACAATTCATGTTTTAAATTTAAATCAATAATACAAAAATTATTAATATTTTAATTATAATGAATGATACGATAGATAATGAATTGTGTTTCCAAGAAATGAAGGAAATCGAGAAAAAAATAACCAAATACTTATGTGAATAGTTAAAACTAGAATAACTCACAGATCCTCTTATGAAACAATTGAACTACGAAGACGCAAAAAAGAAACTAGTATTCTCCTTAAGATCTCTTGATTCTGACACTGAGACATCAGATAATATTTCAAGTACCCCAAGTAATCGATGCTCCTTACAAATGGCTCGATCTCCTCTCATTCTAAAAAGGTTGAGTACTTCCATCTCAGAATAACTCTAATAATGATTGTATATATATTTTATTGTTTAACTATTTCATATCGATAAGTCTTTTCATAATATGTAGCTGATACTGTTATTTTTAAACATAAAGCATTTAAGAAAAAAATTATTTCCATTTTTAGCTAATGAGAATCTTTGAGAACTATTAAAGAAGTTGTCAAGAATATTTTTGAACTTAATTAAACTTAAAAATATCCAGAAATTAGTTTATATTTGCCATCTTTTCTAGTAAGAGACATAACAAAATTTTGCATAATTTAACCATTATAGATAGTTAAAATTGCTACAGATTCGAATAATCAGAAGATAATTTTTAAATAGGTTAAAAGTACTGGAATCTATTTGATTGGAGAAATTATATTAATATTTCTTAGGAAAGAAGTGCAAATCTCACCTAAATTCAATTAAAATAAAAATTCTTTGTTTACTCAATATACTATGTATTAATATGTTGCTATTAAATTTTATATTTTTAATCTAAGTTAAGTGGTAGTTGTTAATCAAAATGGTTTAAATTTATTCCCTTTATGTTATTCTTTATTATAAAATTATTCCAATTAAAATCAAACTTGAGAATTTTATATAATTTTGGAGGGACTCAAAAATTTATTAACTATGTATTTAAATTAAACTATATTTTATTGGTTTCTTTATTAGATTGAGTTAAGTAACATCTATATAATTATGAGATGATATGATCTCATTTTTATTCAGTATATTTATAGGAAATAAGATTAAATACAATTTTATTATTAATTTATGGAAGTCGAAAAATAGTACGATTTATTCGTAATAGGCGGAGGCTCTGGAGGTCTTGCTTGTGCCAAATAAGCAGCAAAATTAGGAGCAAAAGTAGCTTTGGCTGATTTTGTGAAGCCATCCCCTTTAGGAACAAAATGGGGATTGGGAGGAACATGTGTCAATGTTGGTTGTATTCCAAAAAAACTAATGCATTTTGCAGCTACTTTAGGAGAATTGAGACATGATTAAGTTGAAGCAGGGTACTATTATTTTAAGATTTTAGATGGGTAGATACATAAGTGGATTCAAAGCATAATTGGGAAAAAATGGTTGAAAATGTGAATAACCATATACGTAAATTGAATTTCGGTTATAAAAATCAATTAATGAGAGGAGATGTCAAGTATTATAATAAATTAGCAGAACTTATTGATGCTAATACAATTAAAGTAAAGAATAATAAATATTCAAAGTTAACAGATAATAAAGGTCAAATTGAAACAGTCACAGCTAAAAACATATTAATAGCAGTTGGAGGTAGACCATCATACCCAGAAAATATTCCAAATATTTAAAAACTGGTTATAACATCTGATGATTTATTTTGGTTATAAGAGAATCCTGGAAAAACATTGGTTGTTGGTGCTTCCTATGTTGCATTGGAATGTGGAGGATTTTTACACGGAATTGGAAATGAAGTGGCAATAATGGTGAGAAGCATTTTATTAAGAGGATTTGATTAAGAGATAGCAGAGAAGATTGGATTATATATGGAAGAGAAAGGAATTAGATTCATTAGAGGTTGTGTACCAGACATGATTGAAGCAACAGAGGATAATAAGAGAAAAGTGACTTGGATAATCAATGGATAAAAATATGAAGAAATATTTGATACAGTTTTAGTTGCAACAGGGAGAATAAGTGATACCTAAAAGTTAAATCTTGAAAAAGTAGGAGTAAATATGAATAAAAATGGAAAAATATTATGCTCAGCAGATGATAAAACATCAGTTCCCAATATTTTTGCTATTGGTGATTGTGTAGAAGGTAGACCTGAATTAACTCCAACAGCTATTAAATGTGGATAGCTTTTAGCTAATAGGTTGTTCAACAAGGCTACTGAATTAATGTCATATGAGTTTGTTGCTACTACTGTGTTTACTCCTTTAGAATATGGATGTATTGGATATAGCGAAGAGGATGCCATCAAAAAATTTGGAGAAGATAAAATTACTGTTTATCATTCAATATTCAAACCATTAGAATGGAATTACTTTGAGATGCATTCAGGTGAAAGTTGCTTTGCTAAATTGATTGTCTTAAATGATAATCGACGAGTTATTGGATTTCATTATCTAGGACCTCATGCAGGTGAAGTCACTTAAGGATATGCAGTTGCAATGAAGATGGGAGTGACAAAGGAATAATTTGATTCAACTGTTGGTATTCATCCAACTTGTTCTGAGGTATTTATGTATTTTCATCCAAGGAACTTGTATAAGTGACAGCTGTTAAAGGAATAGATGAAGCATAAAAAGAAGGTTGCTGAGGTTGAGTCCCCTAGCCTCTTTGGCTAGGGGATGTTTTAAACAAAAACTCCGCCTAACCGTTAATAGAAGTATTCTGAGGCTAATTTCTAGGAAGAAAGACATTTGTTTGTTTGAAAATAAAACAAACTCAAATGAAACATTTATTGGAAATAACAATAAATAAATGTTGAAAAAAGATGTTTTTTGGAATTGAAATTTGATTAAGAGTATTTCTCAATAATATTTTACAACATTATAATTTAGTTTACTATTTCAAAGAAGAATCCAAATTATAATCAATAAACAAGAACAATAAGAATCAGTCTGATAGTTTTGCTAGATTATTCTTACTTCTATTACTAATTTATATGTAGTATCCCAATGTTAATTAGATCTATTATCATATTTTGCTAATGTTTCTCCAGATCAATAACACTGTATTCTATTTAATCTTGCCGTCATGAAATTCTAATTAAATTTTATAGTTCTTCTGAATTAATAAACAGGAATGAACTTAAAATCTGCTAATTTTTTGATGTATTTTGCACAAAAAGTATTGTATAAACTAATAAATAGGGATTTAATTTTATAAATAATTCATATAATAAATCAAGTGCTCCTTATTGAATTAGTATTCTAAACATCTAATGGTCTAACTTATGTTGATTAGTTTCTCTTAATTCTCCTTCTCTCTTAAATCAAGAAATAAGCCAGGTATATTAATGTACAACCAGTAAAAATTAAAGATATAGCCCAGCCAACTTAAACATTTTTGCTAGCCATAATAATGAATGCCCCAAAGTAGAACTAAGATAAATAATTATAATTACATAGCATAGAATCAGTAATAAAGATCTGTCTACTGTATTAAACCATTTAATATAGCAAGGATCAAGTTTGAAATGGAAATAAACTAAGCCACTCATCACAAAAAATGAGAAAAGCATTTAGTATAAATATGCAGATTCTTACAAATTAGAAAATACTGAGCTTGATCCTAAAATCAATAGTTTTGCTTGTATGTATAACACTACAAAGTTTGATTTGTATTTAAGGTCTAATGAACGATCCATAAACTGAAAAGTAGGTTGCAAGTATGTTGACAAAGGATAGTAAATTCCACAGCCTACAATTGCAAAAGTGATATATAAAAAATGTAGATCACTCATACATTCTACTGAGGGTTGTCTTACTAAAATGTATGGATATTCGCTATAATCACAAATAAAGGCATCAATGTATGTCTTCATTACAAATATAAATTGTCCACTAATCACTTAAATGGTTTTACTCAACCAGAATCTTAAACTCTTAATTCCTGCTATTGATCCATCATCATCAAAACCAAATGAATTATCAGCTATTTATTTACTAGCTTTTAATCCTAGAACTATATAAGCAATACTCATCACCAAAGCCATAAAGAAGAAAAAATTGTATTCACTCCAAATTGCTGAATAATCTACCATTTTTATAGGTTTGAATTCAGATCCTTTTCCAAACCAACCTACTTGAGAATCAAATGCTAATGTTATTAATCCATATAGATCGTAGCATCTTAAAAACACAGCCAAACAATTTGTGATTGTAATTTGGAAATGAAATTCTTATTCATTAGCTTTTCTGTCAAATTTATTAAATTCATCAACTAAGCAATTGCATATTTTTGGAGCTATTCTATTCCAATCCTCACTTATGGGATTGGGTTTCGGTTCAATAGGAGTAATTTTGCTATATAGGTCTGCTAATTGATTCATAATGTTTTAAGTATATTTTTTGGGTGTTATCCAAATTGCTGTATGAATGCATTTACATACTTTCCAAATCCGCTTTTCACAACCATTAGGTTCCTTCATTCTGTACTTATTTTCTGTTTCTTTTAATTGTTAATTGTATTTCTAATTAAGCCTTTCATATTCTTCAGCATTTCCATCCTATTCTGCATGTATATCTCCTATTTTGTTGAAACATTTTCTACTCTCATTAAACTTCTCAGTTTTGGTTAAATTTTATGATTAAATCATACTCTAAACATTAGTGAAACTAGGTAGTGATGGATATAATTCAGGATATTCCTTAATTAAACGATGGAAATTACTTACTGCTTACTTTTTAAGAATTTCATCATAGGATTATTGTTTGTCTTTAAAATTATCGTACAATAACAAACCAAAATCTTCGTCTGATATTGTAAATGCTTCATTTTTCTCCTCATAGCTTGAATATTGTTTTAATATCTCAGGGTCTTTTTCAAGTGCTAAGATCTCTAACAGTCTTGTAAAGTCACCTTACTTTAAGAACATGTTGTAAAGAGCTACCCAAAATCTTTCTGCCTTTTATCCATATAATATATTGCTAAATTAATCTGAATATTTGGGATCTTAACGTATCAAAGTCGATTATCTTCTCTCACTCCCTATTCTAGCTCTGTATTTTATTCTTTATTCTTCCATCATTTTTAATTTATCTAATTCTAATTTTTCTAGTTTTTTATTAGTTTCATTTAATTCCATTTACTCTAAATCGTAAAATCCAAATCTGCACAATAAACAAGAGAATAAACAATCTTGTAATTGATATAAAATGCCATGATGTTCTTCTTTATCTTGTTATTTTTTTGTATCTGCAGAAGTTAGAGATTATGTATCCGTATAATTTGCACTCAAGGACTTTCTTATTTTTTCTCTTTTATTCTCTTAAATTTAATCTAATTTCATTTTATTTTCATAATCTTGTTTTGTCACCAGAATGTTTTTTATATTATGATTCTCACTGGGCTCTGGATGCTCATACATATTGATTGGATCGCCTTAGATTAAGTCTTTCTCTAACTTTAACGTATTCCTATGTTGAACATATCTGACAAATAATAAAGATGAAATCTCTTCAGTTGCATAAACGCCATTTTCAGCAAATTCATGCATTACCATTTTGAGTACTTCCTTCTTTTTCATTTCTAATTGTTCTTTGTTTAACAAAACGGAATAAAATATAGACAAGACTGTTACACTAATGATAATAATTAAAATGGAATAAGCAACAGCTAATTAAGCAAATAACGCAAATTCTGGAGATGAATTTTCAAAATAATCAGCAAGAATTGGAAATACAGTTCCAATAGGACCTATTATAAATGTCCAACCTACTATGACTACAAGGGGTTGGATAAATTATTAATAGTTGACTGATTCTTGTTTCAATGAAACCTAAAACTTGTAATATAACACTGCCAAAGGAACTCCAATTGAATTTGCTAATAAAGCATTCTTTGCTACTTCACTCTCAACAGATAGACCTATTGGTAATAAGACGATAAATGGAAGTATAATGCCAACTGTAGTACCATCCTAAATTCTATTGGTGATCTTCTAAGTATAAGTTAAATTCTATTATAAATCAATCTCTTCTTGAGTTCTCTCTTTTACTTAAAGAGACAAGGCATTACTTGTCAAAATAAATAAGACTGTATGAATACTCAATAAACCAATGATCTAAAAAATATAATTAATAATTTACTGTTCCTTTCTTTGTTCCTGTGGCTGTGGCTGGTTCATTCCAGGCAAAATAACAAATCAAATAAAATGATATGATATAGCATATAGCATTATACCAAACCGCATAATTGTTTAGGTTTATGTACTCAAAAGGAAGAAACTATAGGTTTTCTGCCTACTAAGGTAATTTAACCAAATAGATTAACACGATAAAAATATAGTAAATGACAAGGAGTACTATTGGAATCAGTCCAATACTAGCTAACACAAATGCACCTATTTCCAAACCAGAATCATCAAAATATTCAGAAAAGGTTAGGAAAATTCCAAAAGGAAGGGCAAAGGAATAACACGAGAAAAGGGTTACAAATAGTTTCTAATTTCTTTTTTCTGATCTAAAAAATCCAACTGTAAGCCACATCAATGAGATTAATAATGGGCATATACCTATTAATCTTGAAATTGATTTTAAGTATTAGTTCTCAATAGTAAGACTCCATACTTTAATACAAATCACACTGAAAATAGCACCAAATAGCAAAGGTGTGTATAAATATATGTTCTACCTTTTGAATCTTGAATTGCTTAAACATATTCCAAGAATTATGAAAATTGGTATTGCCATGAGTAAAAATCCGAAAGTAATAATCTATTCAAAATCATAGGATTATAATCCAATTATTAGATTAGCATAACAAAAGATTTCTATGACAGCGTAGGAAATAGCGAATAAAATTGGCACAACATAATTGAGTTTTAATTTAGAAAAGAATTTGTTAGCCTTTTAGTTCATTCGATAATTAGTGTATCCATTTCTAATTTCTTGATCCGCATACTTTTATTACGAAAGCTAGTATAAGTCATATTTAATTGTTTTCTTTTTTAAATCGAACAATCCTTTAATCAAGAAAATTGAAAAAAATAAAAGTACTAAAAAGGTAGATGGTGCAACTATTGAAGTAATGTTATCGACAATATATTCTAATTTTGTCGATTAAACCAATATTATAAAGGCTACTATTTTGAAAAGAATGAAATAGGACACTAATACACAGAAGCTGCAATTAAATAAGGTAGCCAGGATAGCTGATGAGACTTTTTTTATAAAAATTAAAAATCCTCTATTTATAAGTGAGTTTATAAAAATTGCAAAACTTACTATGCAATATCCTATACCTGCATAATCTTACGAAAATCCATCGTAATTTCCAAAGAAATTAAGATGGTATCCTACGAGTACAAATAATGGAATTATTATTAAACATATAAACAAAAGTATCCAAATTAAAATTTTATTTATTTGTTAACATCTAAAATTCTAATAAATTCTTACATTTATGAAGAGATTGTATACAAAAATGCGTAGACAGGCAATTAATGAGCTATTTATTTGCGTATTTTATCATTTTGTATGATTGAGCTGTTTTCGATAGCCTAGATATAAATTCTAATTATACTAAAGATTCTGAGAGAACACTAAAAAATGTACTCCAATAGACAATTGTAATTATGAGTTAGTTAAGATCAAATGTAATTTTAAAGTTATTGTGAGTACATGTGAAAAATTGGTTAAATCGTTCTTCATACTCATAATATTTTTGAAAAATTTATTCTACATAGTTTAGCTATTAATTATTTGGTAATTGTTCCCTTTACTATAACAGAGAGCTTAATTCTTAGGCTTCATCAGTGTCTGGCACAGAAAATTTCAAATTTTAGCCTTACAATCTAATCACTATTTATTGTCGAGTTATTTCTTAATCCTTATTTATGATAATCTAGTATTATGAATCCCCTTCGGTTGGCTTGTATATGTGATTGTTTGTTCTCTCTTAACTATTCATAATTTATAAAATTTTTAATATTTCACATTTAACATTTAAAAAAATAATATGAATTCACTGTCTTCTAGTCTTAAGTACTTTCTTTCGGTTGTAATATTCTTATCTGTGTTCCTTGGTCATTTATTAGTTGACTTTGTCAGCTTTTCTTTGTAATTCTATTAGTTTAAATCACAAAATATTACATTCTTCATACTCCCTATTTGCCTTATCAATTAAATTCTTTTCGTTCAATTCAAAATATTCTAACAGTTCCGCCTTAGTAACATTACCTCTAGCAATTTCTTATTAAATAATCTTTTCAGCTGAAGACCCTTTGTAATTATCCTAAAGATATTTGCTAGTAGAATCATGCAGCCACTTATCTAATTTTTCCTAATCTCCTTTTTTCATCTCATATTTCATTTCATCTTTCTCTATTCGACTTATTTGTTCCTTCATTAGTTTTATTTCTTCGGATTCATCATTTTTTTCTTAACCTAAAATTTCTCCTTCCTCCAATAATTCATTTGATTTTTCATCACTTACTAACGCCTTTTCTATTTTTTCAATGACTTCCTATCCCTCCTTGATGTCCTCCTCCACAGAATTAGTATTAGGAGTAAAGCTTAATTTGCCATTGTATCTCGCAATCAAGATCATTTACTGTTGGTATTCAGTCAAAGGACCTGGAACAATGAAGAGAGGATATTTTTCCCAATCTATGTTTTTATATCTTGAATTCTATTTTATTTCATCTATCTAACTTTAAGTAACGGCAATCTAATGCTTTGAAGCATATTATAAGAACTCCAATATTTCCAAGTCTCTTTCAGCTTGTGTTTAAAAGCTAGGAGGAACCTCCTCCTCCAATATTTCATTATCTTGAAAATTGAGAACTTTCTAAAAAAAGTTTGGATACTTCAGATATTCATCTCTCTACTTAAATCCTAATCCCAAATAATAATGTTTAAGGAAATCTAATTTAGCTGTTTAGGGCCTAACCTTTATTGTTTCTCGGAAAAAGAGATTAATAAATTTAAAGTTCTATTCCTCTGGTAAACCCTCTCGTGCTTTTATCAACATAGTTCCACCTGTTTTTAAAGTCTTTAATGCTATATTCAATGCAATTCTATTTAATCTGATTTATTCAAAATTATCAATATCTCTATCATTTTAACTTCTGCTTTCTAAATTTGATATTATCTATATTCTTAATTATTCTTACTAAATCAACAGGTTTTAAATCAAGTTATTTTTAAAGCTTCATTATAGTTTCCTTTTTATCTACATCTCCTTAAATGAAAATGACTCCATCCCTGCACCTTTTTGGTAATTAAACTTCATCAATTGCAAATACTTTTGGATCTTCCCGATTTGAACCAATTGTTTTTCTCAATGTTTCCGTCCAATGACCCTAATTTAAATAAATATTTACTGAGCCAGAACCCAATTCAATCACGGACATCCCCTTCTTTAGAAGTCCAAATCGAGCATTCAGTTCTGTTAAAATTGAGGAATTATAATACCGCAATTTAAAAATAAACATTAATATAAATAAACCCACAATTAAATTATTTCAACCCCTTCCTTTTAAGTATGTTTTCCAATTAAACCATTATCGATTCTAAATAAGTTCTCTTATTCTTATTGTAAATTAAACGTAAAATATGATTTAAAAAATAAACAAATGGTATGATAGTAAATTAATTATTAATGATTGTTAAAATGATCAATATAACCCATTCTTCTTTGCATACGGATTGTTTTTTTGATGATTATCATAGTTTTTTTGTTTTTCATCTTAAGTAAATAAACTAAATGTGCTAACATTCGAGTGAGCAATTTAATAAGCTAATATTCAATAGATTATTTTACATGCTCCACCACCATTATAAGCAAGTCTTCCATATCCAACATCATTTTGAGAACTTTTAGTAGATTACTAATATTACTTTTAAGGCATTTAAGTAATTGGAGACTTTTAAATCATCTTTGTTTATTATTATTCAAAATTAGGTTACTTGTGTGTTGTTTTAACACTTTATGAATAACCTTATAAACTGAACTATTATTATTATTAAGATTATGTTTGTTTTTAATATTGCTACTTAGATTAAGGTCGATAATTGCTTGTTTGATACTAATTATATTTCCCACTTTTCGTAGTTTGTTACTTATTTTACATTCCATAAGATGAACCATATTATTGATGACCGAAAGGATTGCCTCTCCCTTCTGCTATTTCTTACTATCTAACTTTCCTCATTTCCCTTAAAGCTTATTAAAATTCAAGATGCTGTTGTTTCCATTTCCCTGTTTTTTTTGGCTTTAAATATTTGGCAGCCCTTTTGTTCTATTCCTATTACTATTCTTTAATCTTTTAGATATCTGGTTCCGGTCCTATGCAAACAGATTCATGTTTTCTGATTCTATCAGGGTTAAATCAACTTCCACATTTTCTGCACTATAAAGTTATTTAATACATTTACTCCAACAAGAGCCATGACTTATTAGGGTTATTCATATAAGACCTACTATGACTTTTAACCAACCTTGGTTCCACCTTATTACCTAACTTATTTTTCCTAGTCCAACTTTTATAAAACCTACTATGCTAAAATCTATCGAATATGTATTAATACTCGTGGGCATGTATTATCTATGGCCAGGATCCATATTCACTAGATCATTTTAATACTTTTTGATGCAAGTTTTTTAATGAATTTCTAGAGAAGCAGTTCCAAACTCTCTGCCACATATCGTGCCTATAAATTACTCTATTCTGTACAAAGTAATGATTTTGGTCTGGCTGCGAATCCTCCTCCATTCAAATAATTCAAATTGATATCATTTGTTTTTTAATTATTTTTTCTCATTAATTTATAATTATAATTTTTTGGCAATCAAGACTTCATTATTTTAAACTCGATGAAGTCATTGTCAAAGGATATCTGAATGAAAATATATTAATATTTTAGTATAGTTCAATCTATGTGTTCATAAATAAATTTCACTCGAAATCTAGAAATTCTTCTCTAATTTCATTAAAAATATCTTCTATCCATACCATGTGCAAAGAGGGGTTATGTATTAACAGTCTACCAAATAAAGCCTCTAAATCTTCACTTTTGTAGATTCTATACTTGAATATTATCACTTAAAAATTAATAACCTAATTTACTAATTAATTCTTTTTTCAATTCATAATAATCTTTCTTCTCTTATCCTTTCAATTTAGGTAAATCATACACAAATTCTCTATCTGTTTTGTCTGGTTCTTCAGCAAATTATTGAATTTTGATTTTTGGTTTTTTGCTAGAGGATTTTGATCTCTACCATCTTTTTATAGAGGAACTTAAATTAATTTTCTCCCCTGATTATTGTTGCTCTTTTGACTTAATATATAACAAAGTGTAATACAATATATTGCATTAAATTATCAAGTCGACAATTTGATAGATTTTAGCCTTCTCTTCTGAAAAACACTGGAGGATGAGCTACAGGATCAAATTAATTCTTCTTTCTTTCTTGCATTGATCCAGCACTTCCTATTCTCCTTTTTTAGGCCTTTATATTCATTTCATGTTCATATTGTTCAAACTTTTCTTTTTTATTCTTGTTATTAGGAGTTCTTTTTTTCATGAAAGGTTGATTGTTATCAATTCTAAACTACAATAGATCGTTTAATCTTACATTTTTTTAGTTTAAACAACTGCTTTAAATGTTTTTAAAACATTGTTGAAATCATCATCAGGATTGTTTTTAGATTCTTGACGCTATTTTTGATCTACAGGCTTTTATGATGTATAATCATACAGGTTTTGGGGGTTTTATATTTATAGATGGCTTTGCGTTTTGTACAGCAATTTAATGTTTATAGAGATGATCAGCTGTTGCTCTTAGTCCTCCTATATTTCTAACATCCATAGCAAATGTTTTTTACATTTTATTTTGTTATTTATAATAAAATAAATAATTATTGAATGCATTAATAATAAAATATAATACAATTATTTGAAATCAAGGTTGTAGGATCCTCTACATAATCTCTTTGTCTGTACACTTTTAAATATCTGAAAGATCTGCTACATAAAAACATTCATTCAATTTAGCTGTTCTTAAAGTCCTAGATAGGTATTTCATCATAAATGTAGCTAATAATTGATGTCTATTTAATGACCCCAAATTAACAGAAAAATTTGTAAAGTAGTCTTCAAGTAATTATATTAAAGTTATCATATTGAAAGTCAACTATTAAATGTTCTCAGGTGCATTGTCAACAAAAGCCTGTTTCATTTGTTTCAATTAAGTCAAACAAAATTAACCTCTTTCATCATTGAAAAACTTCTGTTATTCTTTTAAAAACTTTGAGTTTTCCAGCTAAATTAACCAATTAAATGAAAAACATCGTAATTTTTATGCCAAATCATAGAATGGCTGTTCAAATTTTTAAATGAAAAAACTAAAATTAAATGCACTTCTAGCAAAATTCAGCTAATTCAAATAAATTCTTTAGTTAGCTTCAAACTCAATTTACAAATAATTTATTATTAATAGTTTTCTGTAATCAGTTTATTCAGGCTCTACCTCCACCAATACACCTGCATATTGTCTTTTTGAATTGCTCTGTTCTTAAATAAGTGGATTCTAATAGATTTCCTCCCAATTTATCCTATTCTCTTCGTTAATTTGTAAACATCCTTAAATTAATTACTATAATTATGAATTATCTAGTTGAGGTACAATGATTGGTTTACAAATTTTTTCTTACAATTGGATTATATTATCAGCAATTATGGGAAGTTTTTAAAATAGTAACTCATACAAAATCATGCCTAAAGACCAAATGTCGCATTTGGATGTGTAAGGTTATCTTAAAATAACTTACGGAGCCATATAAAGAGGAGTGCCTGCTATGCTTGTCATTAAATCGTTTTCGAAATCAATTTTCTTTGCAAATCCGAAATCTGCAATTTTAGGAATTCCCTAATGCAATAGTATATTAGCTGGTTTTAAATCTCTGTGAATTATTGAGTTTTGAAAGAGTGAATGATAACTAAATAGATTTCATTCAATACCCATTTAAGATTTGCTTTAGGATATTGATTACTGATTATGAATCCAATTTACCTCTTTTGATTATATCTCTTAAATCTCCACCATTACAAAATTCTGATATAATATAAAAATTGTTTTGAGTTTCATAGAAATCTAAAAATTTAACAATATTTTTATGATTAAGTTACTTCATAGATCTAATCTCATTTAATAATTGTTAAGTATTAGTCTGATTTGTTATTTTATATACGTTACTTGATTAATCATTCTTCTATCAATCACTTTAATTGCAACAGGCATTCCATCAGATGACGTCCCTTTGTAAACAATTCCATATGCTCCTCTTCCAAGTAGATGATTCATATTGAATGAGTATTTCCCAACAAATTTTTACATTTTTTGTTAATAAAATTATACTATAACTTTTGCATACAAAATAATATTGAATAAAGTATTAGTAATATATCACAAAATGGTTTTCGATTGCTGAGATATCAATTTAGTATTCTAAATTTACTTATATTTTTATTTTAGTTTTTCTAAATTCCTTTGTCTCTCCTCAATTTCTTATTCAATTTGTTTCAAAAACTAATTTTGTCTAGTGACTTGAGAATTATTGCTAATCTCCTTTTTTAAATCTGATTGGCCTATCTCATTTTCTTATTTTAAAATTTGCTCATACACTCTTAATTATTTTATAAAGCCCTCATTTGGCAGTATTTATTTCCTCAAACACCATAATATTTAATAAGCTCGATCAAAACTCCAATCAAAATGCTACATCAAATACCCCAAAACAACTGTGGCACTTCTTGATATTCCAGCATAACAATGAACCATTACATTTGTATGTTTTCTATTCTCGTCTATAAAATTGAAACACAAAGGGAAATGATCTAGTAATGACTGATCTTCCGAATCAGGAATTGAGATTTTTGAATGGATGTAGGATTCAGGTAAATTAATTTCAGGAAAATCAATGACACTCAAAACAGCACGTATTTGTAATTTTGATAGCAAATACTGATCCTTGGCACAATCAATGTCTCCTATGTAGAGTCCACTATAAGTATTGATTCCATTTGTCTTGGGCTCGAGAATGCAATTCCATTTTGATAATTCGTTAGGGTCTAAGTTCATTAAATTATTATAATATATATATAATCAGTAAAGGGTTTTCGTATTATCTACATGAATTTTCAGCAGACCGTACGTGATTTTACATCATAAGAATATAGTTTTATTAATCAGTGTAACTATGACTAAAGTCCATGAAGAATTGTCACCATTTGTGATAATCATCATAAAATAAATTTTTATTAAATTAATGAATTTTTTTATCAAAATAATCAGATTTTAAAGTTGGAAATCATGCCTGCTACAAATATGCCCACCTATTTGGCATATTTAAAAGTTGAGATGTTTTCTTTGTAAATATAATGTCTACAAATTTCCCATTTGCACAGTTTTTCAACCAATTTGTCCTCCTCATTTTCTAATGTAATTATTTACTCAATTTTATGGGCATTGTCCTCCTTTTCTAATAGCTTCTTTCTTTATTCTTCCCATTGCATTTCATACAAATAGGCTACTTCATTAACTAAGTTGATAGAGACAAGAGTTAGCCAATCAGAACAATCAAGAGTTTGTGGTTGATTCTCAAAAAAGTGAGTAGGATTTATTTTCATCATTTTGATAACTGACTTTTCATATTTCAATTATCCATTTGGTTAAATGAATTATTCTAGCCTATTGATTATCCCTAACAATGAATTCTTTGTAGAAGGCACTATGAATTTATGATACAATCCTACTCCAACTCCTCCAACCACACTTCCAATCAATGCTCCTAAAACAGGAACAGGTATCAATATCTATCCAGCAACAGCTGATCCTATTCCCATTGAAGTCTTTACTCCTAAATGACCCATGTTTTTTAGTTTATTTTACATACTCAAGACTTTATTTGAAAATACTTTGTGAACAGAATAAAATAAAAATGTTTATCCGACCAAAAAACCAACAAATGGCAAATTCATTGAAAGGGCAGCAAAGGCAGTTGTTTCAGCTGTACCATACCCTGCTCTCTAAAGTTTTTTTTACCATGATATATTATCATCAAGACAATCAACTATAAAAATACCAATTCCTGATCCAATTGCTCCTGCTGCAAGAATTGTTGGATCAGTTGGTTGAGGAGCACCTCCTTTTTATGCTTTATCAATTTTATTACAAAATTGTTTTTTTATTATCTTTAATTATTCATCCATATTCATCGAAAAATTTACTATCAATTTCGATTATCCATTAGAATCAAGTGAATATCCGCATGTTTCTTATTCATATAATTTGATATTTTTTACATACTCTATATTGGTTTCAAGAATATGCTAAACTCCTGATGATAATTTCATATTCAAATTTGAGAATTTTTCAACTTCAGTCCATAAGTTCTGATTAAAATAATCAAATGAGACTATAATAACGTAATTTTTGATCATATATAATACAAGCTATTCTTTACTATGTAGGTATATTTTAAATGCCGATCGTTTGCCTCTAGTTATGATATTGATCTTCTCAATAAACAATTAATCTTTTTCTTTCACGAAATCTCTGTCATTTTTATCCACTATTATCTACATGGTTTATATAGGCATTTTAGGATCCAAACCCATTCTGACTAAGGAAGTAAAGAAATCTGTTGTTTTTGCTGGATTATTAATTCTTTCTTATTTGTATTCTAAATACGATACTATAATCTTCTTGGTAAATTCAAAATGATTGATAAATTCTGGTCTCCAAAAATTTGATTTTTCAATTAAAAAATAATTCTAAAGTTCTCTGACTATGTGTTATGAAGCATCTGTTTGAATTGCTTGAAATGTTCTAACATTAGCTAATGCTGGATAATCTTAGAATATCTGATTTACTTTTTGCATCTAATCATCTACAAATGTCGAAGTTAAAACTATAAATTACTCAATATCCTTATGAATATCAAAAATAGTCTCTTTAATTTTTTCAAAGAGAATGATGAAATCTGCTTATTCAACTAATGCAAACTCATGCATTTGAACTGTGAATTAGCCTACTTGGTTTTCAATTTGTCCTTCTAATACATAAGATAATTCTTAAGGATCAAATTCATTTTCTAATAATAAGTCTATTGTTTCTTCAATAAAATTAAAAAATTGAGAGATCATATTTTTAACCAAAATCATTAACTATTAAACAAATCTTCCATTTTAACTAATCATTATAGGCATTCCTTTGAATTGAGAAATTGAATTTTCTAAATCACTAAATGTTAGATTCATGATATCACTTTCTATTTCTTTTCTAGAAAACTTTGGCTTTATTTAAATGTATTTTTGAAAAAGTGCGCATCCATTAATAAGTGTATTAGCAATAATTGCATTTCCTAGTTAAACTTATCTCTAAGACATCATCAAAGCTTCTTATAGCTCCTCAAGTGTATCAATATAACAATCTTATTCAATAAAATATTCCCATACATTTGATAGTAATTATTTTGGACATATAAGTATAGGTATAATAGATCCAGTAGTAACTTGTCTTTCAAAAGAATTGATAAATATTTGCTCTCTTAAATTGTATGTATTCTTTGAGTTGATGAGAGCGATTTTATAATTTTCTTAAGGATCTAATTTATAACTCATTAATTTTGGATAATATGGAACATTCTTATCATTGGTTGATATTAAAAAGGAGCACTTAGAGGGATCAATCAAGAATGTTTTTGAGAAGATTATTACCAATTTATATTTATCTAATCTTGCTGCCATTATTTTAAAATTTTCATCAGAGAAGGTTGCAGGACCATTAAATTATTAGGTATACTTTTTGCATTCAGCTATGTGATCATCGCATAATACATATCCCTAAATAATTTTCTATTCATCTCCACACCATTAATATGTAATGTTTAAGAATTCATTGATCATAATATTTTATGTTTTTAATAAAAATTATTCATTTCTAGATTTTAAATCTATCCTATTTATTGGCTGTAGGCTAAGGTACAACAATGGGTTTAATGTTCCTAAGAATTTAAGATATTTAAATATACCAAATCTTTTCTGCATACTCATGAATAGTTCTATCACTACTAAATTTGCCTGATCTAATAGAATTGTAGAATGCTTTCTTAGCCCATTAAATCTTATCTTGATATAATTGATCAATCTGAAAAATAATGGATATATAACATACTTTAATTTGAGCTTAGGCGTAATGATAGAAATCATGTCCCACTAAATAGAAATCATTTCTATTTGTAATTGAGTCTAATAGTCCGTGATGATCGTGTCCAAAGATACCTGATCTTATAGCTTAGATAACATTCCAAAGAGGTTTTTGAATATATTGATAAGGATCAGAATTTTTCATATTGTCAATCAACTTACCAACTTCTTCTACTCTTGCACCAAAAATGAAAATATTATCAAGTCCAACTTCTTCTGCAATTTCAATATTGGCACCATCCCAAGTTCCTAAAATGATTCCACCATTCATTACGAATTTCATATTGGATGTACCTGATGCTTCTGTGCCTGCAGTTGAAATATGTTAAGAAATATCAGAGGCAGGTATAATGATTTCTGCTGATGATACATTATAATTGGGTAGAAACACTACTTTCAAGTAATGATTAGTGTCCAAATCATGATTTACGACTTCAGCAACGGCATTAATTAATTTGATGATTCGTTTAGCATTCAAATATCCAGGAGCTGCCTTTCCTCCAAAGAAAACAGTCCTTGGTGCAAATTTTTTTCTGCCTTCAGTGGGAGTATCCTTTAATAAAAGATATCTATAGATAATATAAAGGATGTTCATGAATTATCTTTTGTATTCATGAATTCTCTTGACTTGAATATCAAATAAAGTATCTGCATTAACTTCTACATTACAATATTGTCTAACCCATTTGATAAGTCGTAATTTATTATTTCTTTTGACTTTCATAAACTAGATTAATGCCAATTGATCTTCGCATTTGTCTTCTAGAGTTTTCAACATATCCATATTGAGTACCCATTCGTCTGTGCCTAACCATTCATCGTACAATTAGGCTAATTGCTAATTACATGATCTGAGCCATCTTCTTGGTGCAACACCATTAGTGATGTTAATGAACTTCTTAGGTCTCATTTCATAATGATCCTTAAACAAATCAGTCTTCAATAAATCTGAATGGATTCTTGCAACACCATTAACCATATGTGATCCAATGATTGATAAATTGGCCATTCTGATCTTTTTCACTGGGCCTTCTTCAATAAGTGAGAGTGCTGATAATTTGTGTGCATCTCCTGGGAATTTAGCACTTACCTTACTCAAGAATATCATATTAACATAGTAGATAATCTCAAGATGTCTTGGCAATAAACTACCTAACAAATCGACACCCCATTTCTCCAAAGCTTCAGGTAATACTGTATGATTTGTATATCCGAAAGTCTTGGAAATGATTTCCCAAGCATTTGCATGAGTCATACCCTCTATATCAATCAAAATTCTCAAGAGTTCCAAAATAGCTAAAGAAGGATGAGTGTCATTTAATTGAATGGCTACCTTCTCTGGCAGAAGGGACCAATCTCTTCTTACTTTTTTAAATCTTCTGATAATATCTTAAAGAGTAGCACTAACTAGTAAATATTCTTATTTCAATCTGAGTTCTTTTCCAGCATAGGAACTATCATTTGGATATAAGACTGATGTTATGTATTCTGCTTTTTCTCTGGCTTCCAATGATTTGAAATAATCTCCTTCATTAAAACTAGTAAAATCAAACTCATTTGCTGGCACAGATCTCCACAATCTCAAAGATATTGTATTGAATGTCATATATCCTGGGATTGGAGTATCATAAGCTCTGGCAACTATTGTTTCCTATTATGTCTCATAAAGATTTATACTCCTGCTTCCCATAAAGACTTTTCCTAACCATTCTCGTGTCTCTTGACTACTCTTCCATAAAACTTGACTGGATATTACACATCCAATCTCTCAATTTCCCAAGGGTTACCCTTCTCCAACCAGTAATCTGGTGCTTCCACTTATTACCCATTTTGAATCAATTACTTGAATATTCCATAACTATATCTAATGCCATAACCAAAGGCTGGGTAATTCAATGTTGCAAGTGAATCCAAAAAACAGGCTGCTAAACGACTAGAAAATAATTGATTATTTATACCCTAATCCACCGTTCCCTAAGGCTGGATCTACTTCTTCATCGTAGAGGTCTTCCAATTTATACCCCAATTCTTGAACTGCCTCTGTATATGCATCTTGTAATCCGAGATTTCCTACAGCATTTTAAAGACATCTTCCAATTAGAAATTCAATTGATAAATAGTATACTCTCTTGCAATCTTATTCATGAAAATACAATTGAGTATCATTAAAACTTTCAATCAATCTATCTCTTATTGAGTGAGACACTGCTTAATAACAATGTACCTAATGAAAATCAAATCTTGTTCTTGCGAGTGAAAATTCTACATGGTTCACGATCTATTCCTGAATACTTAAATTTAAATAGGATCTTATACCTTTTTTTGTCAGAAGGCAAGTAATTTTACATCAAATGCCACAATCTCTCATGATTCGCTAAACTTTGCGTAGACCCGAATTCAGGTCTAAAGAGTTAATTCATATTTGAATTGGACCCACAAAAAGATTTCCTAGACATTAATGTCTTTGAATCACTGGCTGACATCTATTTTTATAAACCTGACATTTTGTATAAGATATTTATATAAATATATACACAAAAACAAAACAATGTGAAATAACTTAAATTTATTTCATTCTCCATTAAATAGAGTAAGATATAGAATACGGTAGTTATTTATTCTTATACTTTTATTCAATGTAAACTCATATCTTTTTGATTTCTCTAAATTTCATTATATTAAGCCTTATCCTTAAAAGTGGCTTAGTATTTTGACTCAACTTATCTTCCAGTTGAGGATAGTTTTGTTATTTAAGAGTACTTAGCTTAGTTCTAAATAAAAATTGTTGAGCTGTTAGGACTTATTGATTTTGGTTTGGTTATTTATTACTGAAATTTTTGGATAAATTTAATTGTTAAACTTAATTAGCTTTATTTCGATTTCATATAACAATTCTTTTATCATAATCTGGAGTCAATTATTCTTTTTTAATCATATTCTTAGAGTATGTTATTATTTCAACAATCTCATTTTAAATCTACACCAATATACTGACCTTACGGAATATTCCAAATCCATTTAATAATCAAATTTTTCTTGTCCAATATTTTTACTCTTTATTCAAAGTTTATACCTCCCTAATCATCTTATTGCTAATTTAAGAAGTTGCCAGTTCAAAATATTAAACTTATATCCTTTCACACTCCAATCTTTCTTTTTTTAGTTAAATTAACTTAAGTTTGATTCATTAATTAAAAATACTTAAGTTTAAGTTTATTTTCTCAATCTATTCATTGCTAATAATTTTTAAATTCTGATATTCTATATCAACCAGGTTATTTAATAATATGAAAAGTAGGTATGTACTCAAATTTATTAATTATTTCTAGTTTCTTTATATTACTTTCAAGTATAGTAAATTATGATTTCTTATTTGAATTGACCATTTACCAAACTTACTAGTAAATAGTTAACAATACCTTTAAAAATCTATTTTACATTAACCAAATCTAATATTATAATATGTTTTATATAATTCAATCAAATCTAATTCGTTATCCTTGCATTATAAATACGATTACTCCAATTATAACCTCTCTTTTTTAATAACATCGTTAATTTATTTTAATAAAACATTTAATAATTTAAAATGATGAACACTATCATTGATCAACTGAGTAAACAGGATTTCCAAAGTATTATTTATAATTCCTACATAATAAGGTTGCTTCACTACTGTTAATAAATTTGTTTAAGAGAATGAAAAATAGAAATCATTTCCAAAAGAATATCTCAAATTATTTATAACAATCTTGAATTCATTAAAGACAATCATAATTGAATAAGAGAATAAAGAATTTAAATTCAAACTGTTCTAAGTTCTTAGATTACTCACAAGATCGCAAGATGTTTCACTGAATGTCCAATCTCAAGAATTTTTATTATTGATAGATTTAATGCAAATCATTCAAAAATAGACTTCGTAATCTTTTACTATGATGCAAATAGAAAATTTGAGCATCTAAAAACGTTTAATTTATTTCAATAACAAGGTATGTGTTATTTTTACTAAAATTATCATAGTTACTGCAAACCTTTAATTCTAAATATGTGCATTCCCTATTAGATATAATGACCTCTTCTTCCAAGGACTTGAAATTAAGTCTATTGGATTATATTAAATTAGCAATGGAAATCGATGGGTAGTTAATACAAACTGAAATATCATCCCTTTACTATGTTGGTAAGATGCTTGTCTTACTCGAAAACAATGATCTAGAATTAAAGATTTAGACTGCTAATTTGATTACAAAGTTGTTAGATTGCTATCCATTCAGCGAAAATTTCCGCAAATTAACAGGAATGGCAACAGTAATCCAGGAAATTGAAAAGAAAGACAATGATAAATTAGAAGTAAAAATACCTCTATTGAATTTATTAATGAGAATATCCTCTGATAGCAAGAATTACCCTGATCTTAAAGTAAAAATACATATAAATTTATAAGTTGTATGGGATTGTAGAAATTTTACTATAAAATTTAGACCATTAGGAATACATGATAGTTACAACAGTCATAAATATTTTTGGCTAATTAAGTTTTGATGATGAGTTATCATCTAGAATCGCATAGAAAGGATTATGTATAAATATATTATGAATATTAGAAAAAATAATTAATCTGGTGTTTATGTGTCATCCTCATAGAGTTAAGCAATTAAAGTTTATTGATATTAATAAGAAGGATTATCCAAAGGCTATTTTGGAATTGCAAATTTACACCTTTAGATTACTGAGATACTTAGCTTCTCTGAATAGGCATAGACACATTTTTAAATAACTATTTATCCCCAGATTATTATAATAATTTATTGATATAGAGAATTTTAATAAGACTTTAAATGCATATAAAAAATTAGTGGATGATTTCAATTAAATAGAACCTGAAGATTTGTTATGTATGTAAGAAACATTGCAACAATCTGCAGAAAATTTTTATATGCAAAATACAATAAAAAAGATTGGAAATTATGAGATATTGGAATAAATAGGCAAAGGAGCATTCGGATCAGTTTACTTGTGTAGATTGGGAGGCAATTTCTATGCAATTAAATAAATAAATGATGTTGAAACTTTGCAGTATCGAGAGGTGTAGATCCATTTGGAATTGAACCATCCAAATATTGTTAAATTATACGAATGCTTCATCCACGAACATTCATTATGTTTGGTGATAGAATACATAAAGGGAATGAACGTATAAGAGCTGATTAAGTTAATGAATGAGAAGAACTAGTAGATAGATGAAGAGAATGTTTGGAAAATATTGATAGATCTACTTTCAGTATTAAGATATTTACATTTTGATAAGAACATTGTCCATCGAGATTTGAATCCTGCAAATATAATGGTGGATTCATCATATTCAATTAAAATCTGTGATTTTGGATTGGCTAAGCACTTTTAAGAAGACATAATCAATAACTCATTTGTTGGAACATTAATTTACACTTGTCCATAGATAGTGGAGAATAAGGCATATTCTGAGAAGGCAGATGTATGGGCTTTGGGATGTGTATTATATGAAATGCTTTAATAAAAGCCTGCGTTTCAATCTGCGAATCCTTTGATGCTTGCAAAAAAGATTGTTTAATTAGAATATGAGCCCATCAATTAAGGCATTTATAGCAATGAATTAATAAATATAGTTTAGTTGTGTCTTTAGAAGGAGGAGGACAAACGACCATCAGTTAATGAATTGTTAGAGATGATAAGTTTGAAGATGGTGATTTTGATGGATACTATAAAGTAAGAGAAAGATGATTTGAAAAGTGAGTTCCAAGATTTGTAATCCAAAATCAATGATTAATTGTATGAAACAAAAAAAGAACAATAAGAACCAGGATTGCAGGTTTGGAATATATTCTAAAAACTCTTATAATTGTCACTTCATGATTATAAAACTCTTGATGCTAAGAATTAGTATTTGATTGAATAGTTTAGAAGAAAGATAAGTAAACCAGACAACGACATCAACATTTAGACTGAATTAACTAAATTAACATCCTTATCGAAAGAATTTATATCATACTTACCAAAGATTACTTATGAACAACTGTTTTTTATAATTGAGACTGAGTGTAAATCATAATAAATCTGATTGTATTGTTTGTGTTAAACTAATGAATTTTATATTAATTATGTTAGATAGACTTATTATTCTAGTTTTTATATGAAATTTCATAAGTGAATAGGATAGATGCTACAACCTAATTATGAAGGATAGAGAATAAAGATTGTATAATTTTAATTTGGTTATAATAAAATTAATGTTTGGTTAGAATGTCGATACTTAGGATCTCAAAATTCTTAAATGTGTTCATGATTACAAAGTAATGAGCAAGAAACTAAAGATTCGTGCCTTTGCCTAATTTCATTAATGCTAATACAACTGTGTAAAGGACATAAATTCCAAAACAGTGGAGACTTGTTTCAAGCAATGTGAATTAGGTATGAATGAACAAGAATTCATTAGAGTTGGACAATTACTTTGAAGAGAAATAGAAGAGAAAAATAGGGAATAAAGTGTTTTATGCATTACCCATTTATAACAATTCTGATCCATCAAAGCAATATGTTATTCCATAAGATTAGCAAGGAGAATATCAAAAAAAGACTATACAATTTGAATTCGAATCTCAACGTAAATTAAATGAATTGAAAAACATTCTAGATGAACGTGGTAAGATTTATAAGTTGTGATTTAAATATACACATATATTTATATAATGTAAATAAAATTAATTTTTTAATTCTGTAGCTACAAATGGCCACTCATTATAGATTAGATGAATAGCATCATTTGCTTTCAACTCATAAAACAAAGTTCCAATTACCAAAAGGACACTTCTTATTTACATCTGAAAGTGTTAGCTCCGGTCATCCTGACAAATTGTGTGACTTCATTAGTGACAGCATTCTTGATGCTTGTTTAGACCAAGATCCCAATTCTAAAGTAGCATGTGAATCCGCATGCAAAAACTCTCTTGTTATGGTATTCGGTGAAATCACAACAAATGCTTAAGTGCCCTATGAGACAATCGTTAGAGAAGCAATCAAGAACGTTGGTTATGATAACATAAGTAATCCAATTAACTTATTACATCATTTAGACAAGGGATTGGACTACAAGAATGCATCCATTATAGTCTCATTAGACCAATAATCTAGAGAGATTAATCAAGCTGTCGTGGGTGCTAAACACGAAGACGAGATTGGTGCTGGAGATTAAGGATTAATGATAGGATATGCATCAGATGAAACCCCTGAATTGATGCCATTGACTCATCATCTTTGCAATAAACTAATTGCAAGACTCCAGGAATGCAGAGAAAAAGAAATCTGTCCTTGGATGAGACCAGATGCTAAAGTTTAAGTTACCGTTGAATACAAAAGAGTATGGTGCAACATTCTTCCCTGTTAGAATACACAATGTCTTAATCTCATAATAACATGATGAAAAAATCACACATAGTGAAATATAAGCCGAATTACATTCTCATGTTCTTAAGTATGACTTAATTCTATTCTCAAAGGCATGTTTTACCTCAATAATATGTTGATGAACATACTCAATACCATTTGAATCCATCCAAAGCATTTACTGTTGGTGGACCATATGGCGATGCAGGATTGACTGGTCGTAAAATCATTGTAGATACCTATGGTGGATGGGGTGGCCACGGTGGTGGTGCATTCTCAGGAAAGGATCCCACTAAAGTTGATAGAAGTGCTGCTTATGCTGCCAGATGGGTTGCCAAATCATTAGTAGCCTCTAAATTATGCAAAAGAGTCATGATTTAAGTTGCCTATGGTATTGGTATCAGTGAACCATTGTCAATTTCTGTTAATTCATATGGAACACATGCAGAAGGTTATGATGATGATGATCTATCTGAAATTGTCTAAGAAAGCTTCGATTTGAGACCAGGAGTTATTATCAGAGAACTTCAATTAAGAAGACCCATTTATGCTAAAACTGCTTCAGGTGGTCATTTTGGTAGAACTGAACCTGAATTTTTATGGGAAAAACCAAGAATTATAGATATTGCTGCATGGAAAGCTCATAAGGAATAATAATAATAAAAATGAATTGATATTATGTTAAAAATATAAATAAACAAGTAATACGTCATTTTTTCTTATTTAGCTCAGCTCCTAACAACTTTATCTATTCCCTTAACTACAAATTTTCAATCATTGTTCTCTATCATAATTATATTCTATTTATACTTCTATTATTTCTTAGATATTTTATTTCTTCTTCAATTACTGAATCAATTTAACATCCTCTTTTTCTATTCTAATATTATAGTGTATAATTTTACATATCAGCCTCAGTTAAATTTGGATATGCTTTACTAAAATGGTATGCTAACAATTGAATATATGACACTTTTTCCTCTAATTCATTTGTCAATTTAATTATTTTCCCTGACAATTGATCCTTTAATGTTTTATTCAGCATCTCTAATTCTTATACTCTATTTGCCAAAGATTCCACTACTATTTTATCTTTTTTTGTTAATGGAGCACTCGACACTTATTTCTATCTTGCCTAAAAGTCCTTTTATGCATGCACTTCCTTGATTAAATTCTATAAATCTCCCTACATCTATATTATTCTTTATTCTTTCTATTGATTATCCTTGTTTAACTCATCTATTTCTCTCATGCTTTTAATATTCAATTCATCCAGCTATTACTTTATTATTTCATAATTCTTAATTGAATCTTTATACTAACCTTCCAGAATTGAAAAATCTTACAATTACGATTAAAGTAACCTTTCTAATTCAATTATTTTTGTATTTTTTTGATCTTATTCTTACTATGAAATTTAGAGTAGCTTCTTTAGTTTTTCTAATTCTTCAATTGCATCATTTAGTTTTTCTTAAATCTAATAATTTTAACTAAATTTACCTTTTATTTCTACTTCTCTATTAATTTCTATTATTTCTTTAGACTTTCTAATTCTTCAGATTATTTTTTATTTTTTTCTTATAATTCTTGGGTTAACTACTTAAATTAAATACTATCATTTTATGTATTATGTTGCTCTGCTATTAAAGCAAGTGCTTATTACAGTTCACTTTCTAATCTGAATTTGTCTTAAGAAATTATTCTTAACTCCTTTAGTTCTTGATGACATACTTTAATGTCTTCTTTCAATTGTTCATTTTGCTATTTAAACAGACCAATCTCAACATTGAGCTTTGAATTAATTATGCTTTGTTCATCAATTATTTATTAAAGAGCTGCGCATTTCTCCACTATGGTTTCCATAGATGTTGAATTTCTTGATAATTTCTAATTTTGCACTTTCGCTTTGTCCTCTTATTACGACTTCAGAGCAGCTAGTTCATTTGATAATTACTAAATTTGTATTTATTATTCCTTTGACTTTTTCTCTAATATCTAATATTCTTTTTAAGGGATATTGTTTTATTTATCTCCTGTTTAAGCTTATTGATAAGAATGATTTTACAAATAAGGATTAAAATTAATTAAATTAGAAGATTCCTAGCTTTATTTGGCCTATTGTTGTTGAGTTAGAGATTATATTTATGCTTATTATTGTATAATTAACTTCTTTTATTCCTGAATCTCTCCTTTAAGTACTGCAATTTAATCGTTTAACTATTCTTTTTCTTGAGTAAGTTACTATTAAATTTCGAAATGTTCTTATTTTTATTTCAAAATCTCTGAGTTCAATTCTTTGATTTAATCACTCTCCTCATTATTATTATTATGATTATAACTCTAAAATTCTCCTTTCTATTAATTTGGTTAAGTCTGTAGTTCTTATACTTTAATCTTAAGCTCCTCATTTTCAGTTTTTAGCTCCTTGCATTTAAAGTCCAACACCTCCATCTCATTTAAACTATTTTGCATCATTCTTCCTTCACTCTCAACATTATTCAATTATTATTTCAATTCCTATATTAATCTATGTAAGTCTTCAATTTAGGATTCGTGCTTTTGTTTTTAAGATAATAAATTATTTTCATATTTCTATTCCATTTGATATAGCTCTTCTTATATAATTGACAATGAGATATTCAATTAATCTAATTAGTTTTCCTTCTCTTTTAATTGAACTTAAGACTTTTGTAATGATTATATCATTTCATCTTATTCCATTCTTTGTCTTTTTAGCAAAGTCACTTCCTATTAGTACTCTTCCTGCTTTCTCTCTAACTATTCTTATGATTATTGTTTTTATTCTAAATTCTTAATTACTAGCTCTTCAATTTAAACTTAAAATGCATCATTTTCATCTTATATTCTTTTTTTCTATTCTTAAAATGCCATAGCTGCTGTTTCGAAATCATTTCGTAATTAAATCAAAGTATTCTAGTTTTCTTGATTTATTTTAGATTCCACATCCCTTGAATTTTATTCTAATTCAATCACATGCCCATTTTATAATTAGAGTATTTATTATTCCAATTAAAGATTTTAATTGTTTAACCCCAAAATTTGATCCTTCAACTATTGAATTTCTGCTGAATATTATTATTCTTACTATTTTATGTATTGCACTTTTGTGTCAAGGTTCAATTAGGTTTCTTCTAACAGTACACTTTAATAGTTGAAATCGCTTACTAGTTTTAGTTCTTTTTCTTGCACTTATTTCAAACTTATTTTCATCTATTCTAGGTCAATATTTACTTATTCTTGTTTGTTTATTAAATCTTAGATCTATTACTATAATTAATTTATTTTGTCTAAACTTTATTCATTATTTTTTTACTCTTCTATAATTTATGATTTCTATATATCAATTTCTTTTTAAAATTGTTAAATCATAGCATTTTTTTATTCTTATTCTATTCTAACACTGTTCTATAATGTTTCATTTTCTTATTTTAAATTTTCCAGCTCTTTCAATTTTATTTGTATTTATTCCAATTCCTCAATCAAAATTTATTTCTCAGACATTTATTTATGTATTAACTCATTCAAATCTTCAATTTCTTTTTAATAAGAATTCATATTAAATTTCTCTTGATCCTTGAATTATTATAATTCTTATTAACAATCTAAGAACAATTATTTTTATATTTAAATCTCATTTGTAATTTCACACTTCTATTAATCATATTAATTGCTTAGTTATAATTTTTAGATATTTAATTTATTTTAAAGCAATTCATCGTACTCTAGAGAAAGTTTTTCTTGCAATGCAATATATTAGGCTTCATATTTTTACTTATTACTTTCTAAACTTGCAATTGTTTCTTTAAGTTCTTATTAAAGTTATTCTATATTTTTATCCTTTGAACTTTCATTTTGAGATGCCATTTCCAATTAAGCCTCACTAAGTAATTCTTAATCTTTTGATCTTTAAGTTAATGCTTAAATTTCTTAACTCAGTAACTTAGTGTTTGAGTCATTTTTTTATGATACTTATTCTAAATCACTCATTTTTTAATTAATTGTTTCTGTCCAGATCAATAATTGATTTTAAAATGATGACTTAATTTATTCAAGTTGTTTTATTGTATCTTATTATTCGTGAATTTACAAAGTTAAGATTTCAACTTACTTTAGAAGTTCTGAGTACTTCTATTCTGATTATTATAATTTTGATTGTATATTATTGCTTTCGTCCTATAACTAAGAAGTTTGCTATGATTTTTCTTCAATATCCAATCTTAAATTAGTTATCATTTCTTCTTTTTCTTATATTTACTTTTTAATTTTTTCATCAGAACTTGTTATTTCTTCCTTTGCATTAGATAGTTCTTATAAGATTTAAACTTTTTCTAAATTGCTACCTTCTTTCAGTTATTCTAGTTCTAATTAGAGTTAACTTTTATCCTTTTACAATTATTCTATAATGTCTTCAGATTAATTTAATTTTTGTTTTAATTGTTCCTAAACACCTGTTTCTTACGTAGCCTTTGAGATATTGTCATCAATTTGTTAAATTAGTTATTCATTTTAATCTTTTGATTATTAATTTATTATTTTCAAATCCTAAATTTATTTTTCTAAATCTAGTATCTGTTGTGAATTCTAATATATTTATTTTCCCTAATCTTCATTTTATATATTAAGTTGTTCAATTTAACTTTTCAAATCATCCTGTTATTTACTCATCAACTGATTATTTTGCATTTATTATTATAATAGATTGTTAAATTCCTAAATCTTATCCTCTGAATTTTATTTGTCCTCTATTAATTTCTAATTGAGAGATTATATTGTATTTTAAAAATTTTGAATATCTTGAAAAGTGTTACTTTCAATTTATTTTTACTCATTCTATTATTCTAGTATTTTAGATTCTAATTAATTTATTCTCAATTCAGCATTTTCTTTTTCTTCTTATAGGTCTAAGTATTTTTTATCAAAATGTGATTTTTATTCAATTTCCTTCTAACACTATTCTTTTAGTTTTATAACTAGATTCTATTATTCTTCTACTTATCCTTTAAATTAAGAATTTTCATTGATGATCTATGAAATAATTTCTTCCTGCTACTGCAATTTAATTGTCTATTATTCATTTATGTTATTAATATGTTATGACTTTTATTTCAAATCTTTAATTTCACTATTAACTTTTTCAATCTATTCATCTAAAGATTTAATAATTTTTTGGTTTTTTTGCTCTTAGGATGATAATTCTTAATTCAACTAATGAATTTCATTCTGCACCTTTTTTAATTATTCATTCTTTTCATTTAATTATCTTTCTAAAGACTATTCTAGTTTAAGCTTTTCATTATTTGCATCTTTAGTTTTTTATTCTTCTTTTTTTAATTGTTCAGCTAAATTCTATACAATTATTTTATTATCTGATTTGATTATGTCTAATAAATTGTTTTATTCAGATAATTGTATTTTATAAGATTCAATTTCTTTTTTTTATTTTGCGATCAATTCTAAATTATTTTAATGCTTCTACAATTCTTATTATAAATTATCTTTAGTGGATTCTGATTTCTATAATCTTTCTATTAATGATTCTATATCTATTCTATGTTGATTATTCTATTCTAATTATACCTCTTAAAGCTGTTGCTATTTTTATTCAGACTATTTTAATGAAACCTGCAATTTCTCAATTTCTGACTGTAAACTCTCTAATTAATTCTAATACTCTTTGATTTGGCTTTAATGCTCATTGTTTTAATGATCAAACTAACCTTGAAGTGATTCAATTTATTTTTATTAGAAAGTTTATGCTTCACTAAATTAACATTCTAAAGCTTTATATTTTTAAATATAGTTTTCAAGCTCAAGATGTGAATGCTATAGATTTTCTTGTAATTGTTTTATTTATTAATTATCATCATTTTCATTTTTTACAATAGATTCCTCTGCTATTTTATGTGCTCTTGGTTATTCATCCAATTCATTATTCTCAATCTACTAAATATCATTAGTTAAATCCTCTTTTTAATTAATTACTTCTGTTTACTGGTTATCATACTCATTATATGTAGAATTCTATTCTTCTACTAAATTATCCATATAAATTTTTTATATAATTTTTTATTTTTATTTAATTTATTCATGTGATCATATGCTTGAAGACTGAATTATTTTTAATTCAGAATTATATTATAAAATACATTAATTATTCGAATATGAGAATTAGAAATTAGTTCATTTTATAATATTTATCATATATAATGGAAATTCTATTAATAACATATTTCTTTCATTATCTCATATTAATAATTAAAATAGCATAATTTTTAAGATTATTAATAAAATGTTACTTTTTCCCTTGAATATTTATAGAAATCTGAACGAGCAATGCTCTTTGAGAAGATTATAGATTGACATGTTAGATCATAAATTAAATTAATTGAATGATGATACTTGTGAAATTACAATTAAAATGGATAAAGATAATATATTATAAATATAGATGAGACCCAAAATTGGTCCCTATAAATTGAAAAATTACTTAGTAACATTTTATCTTATGCTAGTTTTTGTTAGATTTTAGAAAAAATTATCCCATCTCTCCTCCAATTATAACAATTGGGTCTGAAACTTTACATCCGAATATAGACAGAAAAAATTAAAAATTTTATTTACGATTAATAGAATAATAGAATTGGAAACCAATATATGGGTATATTTTGATAAATAGAGTAGATTATTTGAAATCGTAGAAGAAATGAAAAAAACACTAATTCATGTGGATTTCACAATAATACCAAATGAAACTATCTGTCTTAAGATGGCACAACAGATTCTAAACTAAAATCAATTAGACAATGAATGTGAAAATCAAATTAATAGTGAATATGATAGCGATTAGGAAACTTTTGATTTTGAAATTAGTAGAGCTTTCAAGATGAATTTTGAAATTGTAGATAGTTCTTAATATAACATCTAATTATAAAGTGATTCTTAACATATTTATTAAAATTTACCCGCAATAATTAATTTATAAAACACTTCGAAGCATAAGTAAAATGATAATATGTTTTTTATTAAAATAAAAAGTTGAATGCATTTTTACTTATTTTGTTATAAATTTAGTTAAAAATATTATTAAAGAAAAGTGAAACATTCCATCAATAAATCACTCTAATTATTCAATATCTTTATTTAGTTGTTCAATTATATAAAGTTCTGGCAACAATTAAAACATACATTATCTAGTTTCATAACTATATTGTTTATTTTATATTAATACTTTAATAAAACCCTTTATGATTCTTCATTCAATAGTTTGTAGCTTACCCATAAAATGAGTTGCTTATCTTTTTCTTAAAACTTAATTTAATTTTCAAGTTCTAAAAACGTGTGTCTGACTTTTTAGAATTTTTTGGCTCTCAAAAATCTAATTTATGCCTTAATTTTTACCTATATTTAATGCCAGTTTTATCCCTTTCCCAATAATTCATCAATGACTCACTACCTTCACCATACTTTAACACAATCTCCTTTTAAAATATGCCTAATTCTATTGACATTTCAGTAAACCTAGGAAGAGTTAGCATTTTATCTCCATTTTCATCTTGAAAATCAGCATTGTTAGTAAATATTGAAAGGAGTTAAGATTTGGATAATTTCTCTTAATGAATTGCTCTATATAAGGTTTTAAACTAAATTTGTAAGATTAAAAAGTACCTCAGAAAATTCAATTAATTTATTTCCATCTAAATCAGCTGCTTTAAACAAGGATTCCAAAATACTCTATTAATCTTTTTTATTGTTGGAGTATAATTCTAATATTTTAATAAGCAAACTATCATGATTAATAAAATATCTTTAATTGTTTTATTGTTAATTTCTATATAACTATAATAAAGATTATATCTATTGTTAATATAACCATCTAGATGATTTTTCTGTTAGAAATTCGCTGGCTTGTTCATAAGTTAACAATAAATCTACTTTACCATAATTGAGATCATTTTTTGATGAAAAATATTAATAACTTTCTGTCAATAGTTTTTGTCCTATTTCATCCATTTCTCCTAACATATAACAAAATTATGCCAGTAATTAAGCTTTGATATGATTTCCTTTTTCATATAAAATAAATTAATAAACCTATCGAATCTTTTTTTCAGCAACTTATTTAAATCCATATTTATTTTTATAATAATCATAGATACAGACATGAAATGGTATTTTATACCCTTCAGCTTATTTACAAATATCATTAAGTATCTAAGTAACTAATTTTTGTAATTATAATATTGAAAATTGTATTTTCTTATTTGGTTTCTTTTTCATTTTTACATCTGTCAATAATCCATTAGCTATGTCTGTATTCTAGCTATAAACTCTCCTGAATCTCTTGGCATTTTTCTATTCTAATTAGATAGGATTATACCGACTCCTTATTTTGTTTTTCTGATCCTTATACTACATAATTACAGATTTCACTCTTTCACCCTAAATATTATTAATGATGCCAGGAGAAGATTCAAACTCAAACTCATCAGATTAAGACTCATCATTTTAAGATAAATTGATATTTTTGTCAAACTAATTTTGCCTTTATCCTTTTGATTTTATTTCAAATTAATAGGAGGCTCTTGAATTCGAGAATTGATTGTTTGAATTATTAATTTCATCAAATTCTTAAGAAGATTTAATCTATGAAAGATACTTTTGTTCTAAAATGGAATGCTTTTGGGTTTTACTTGACTTTTAATTTTTTACATTTAAAAATAGTTCATTATCTATGACAAGTTGTTATTTTCTTTATTAAGGTGATTATTGGTTCTACTATTAGGATCCATCTATTAATTATGATGAAGAGGGTTATTTAGGTATTTTATCAATTTTCTTTATAGTTAATTATTGTGAATTTCTTGAGGCAAATTACTATTCACTTGGAATTTAATTATTATTTTCTTCTTTGAACTGTTCATTTTGCAGTGAAAATTTAGTTTATCTAGGAGTATTTGGTTACTTTTTTTGTTTTTATATATTTTGTAAACTAGGTTATCTTGCTTTATGTAATGAGATACTTAAATCATTATTGTTTGCTTTAATAATTGGTGTTTGATTTTCAGCAAATTGATTGAAACTTGTTGAATTCTTAGTTTACTCCTAATTTATTACATGGTCTGATGAGTATCTTTCAAGATCTTCATCATTCAATTTTTTTTCATCTTCTGAGGCAATATATAATGAATCATTTTTGTCATTTCCTTTTATGATTCTTTTAAGTTATTTCTTAGCTTTTGATCCCTCATCTTAATCTTTGATTCTACTTCTATCTGTTAGTTGATAATCTAATTCATCTTATTCATCTATGTATTTATCATCTTATTAAACATTTTTAGATTCATGATAAATATCTGATGATTAATCATAACTCTTAAATTAAGATGAATCCTTTTCCTCTTCCAAAGTATCTAGTTAATTGATTTCAATATTGTAAGTTGTAGTTATCTATTTTAATGTACCTTATAAACTACTTTTTTGTTTCATTAATCTCTTAATCTAATTTTTTTTCTATTTTATTATTTGAATAAAATCCTAGACTGCTTAAGTGAGCTTAGATTCTAATTCTTAATTTTCATCTTCTTTTTCCATTAAATCTATTTTCTTTTGGGTCTCTTCTTTTTCTAATAGAATCAATCTTGATGAAAGATGTTATGATTTTTTAATCGATAAATTAATAGTCTCGCAGATAGATTCCTTACAATCTAATTCTGATTCCTAAATGAGAGATATTGCCTCTTTCAATCTTTATTCTAATATTAATTGTTCTTACACGGATTTATAATTCTATTAATCTATCTCATATTACTGGTGTACAATTAATTAATCTTTATTTTATTATTATTCTTCCATTTGTAGAATTTAAGATTATAATTTTTCTAATTATAAGATTTATTAATTTAATTCTTATGAGTTTAAATCTGTTTATGTTTCTTTTTAATCCAAATCCTATTAAACTTATACTTCCTCATCTACATATTCAATATCAGGCTCTAAGATTTGTTGTTGAATCAAATCAAATTTTAGTTGCTATTCTTATTCTCTAAGTGATTCAAACTTTTCAAAATTAGTATTCTTAACCTTCTTCTTATTAAATTTATATTCAGTTGCAATAGTCTTATAATTTAATAAATGAGATACAATACTCTTACCTTTAGCTAACTGAACATCTATTTACTAATCTTCAAATTTCTTATTTTCATTGTTATCTTATGTTTTAAGTAGCATGAGTTATAGCAGTAAAGAGTCAATCTCATTTTTTTGTGTTTCGTTGGTTTCTATCAATAATCTCATTTCTGAGGTTAATAATAACATTTTGGCTTTGGTCATATTTAGTTCATCGATGGAATCAGAAGTTTCGTTTTTGATTGTTAGAATTTGATTTTAGTATTCTTGGTATCTGACTTTAGCAATTTCCATTTGGGAATCATGAAAACTTTAAATTCTTTACATTTATTCAAGATAAGATTTTTCTGATTCTCTTTGTTGTTCTGAGTAACATTTAATAATTTGGCCAATCAATTCCACATAAAAATCCCAAACAGTTTAAAGTAGATCTCCTCTTTCTGTGCACTCAATACTCACTTATCTATTTGATGATTAAAACATACTTGATTAGTTCTCTAAGACATGAAGCATAGATAAGTTATATTCTTTCAGCCAATTCTCTAGTGCTCATATTTGAACTCTCTTATTTAGTGTAAGCAATCATCATGAATAACCAATCTCTCAAATCAATGGCTTGTTGTCTATTTGGTGGAATCATTTCTTTTTCTTGAATGGATTATTACATCTCTAATTTTAAAATTTCCCCAAAGTACTTTTACAAGTTTGTTGATCTTTGATTATCTTGAAACAACTCAGTAAAATCTAATAAATGACCTTGAAACCTTTCCTTTTCCAAATTGGTATTAAAAGGTATGCGAGTATTAGTTTTACGATAGAGAGTGCCATAAAATGATTACAAATTCTTGTCGTATTTCTAATTTATGCATAATAAATACAGTTTATTAAAGTTCAGGCTCTTTGTATATGCTAGTTCCAAGTTTAGCAAAGTTTCTTTTTGTGGATCTAAGATATGAAATATCAGAGCAAGGTCCCAATTTTGATAAATTGATAACTGTTTAACCTTTAGGATTTAACTATTGTTTGACTGAATTTGGTATAGAAGTGTTGATTAATTGATCCCATTCGATTGAAGAACTTGGAGAGTGCATTTTAGATTTCACTTTGGTATCCAAATGATGGATTGATTGTGATTATTGAATTTCAGGTAAATAATTTTTTTGCATAATAATTAGAAATTTGTGTTAAATAACATCTTAAATAAGACACTTTAAATTTTATTAGATTTGTTATCAATAAATTTATTTAATAATGGGAGCATGTAGTGGTAAATCAGGAGGAGATAAACAACAAGCGATGTCGAAAGAACAGAAACGTAAGCAAATTATTTCGACTCTTAGAATTGGCTGTAAATAAATTCGAGGTTGGCCCCAACATCTTTGTTAATCTAAAGTAGGGTGATATAACTGATACTTATATCATTAACAAAATATTGGGTGAAGGTATTAACATCAAATTATCAGTCAGGTTCATACGGATAGGTGAGACTTGTCTAACATAAGAAGACTGGCTAATAAAGAGCAATGAAATAAATATAAAAAAAGAAAATACTCAAGGAATAAGAGGACGCTATGTTTAGTGAGGTGGCCTTGCTCAAAGATATGGATCATTAGAACATTGTCAAATTATTCGAGTTGTATCAGGATAGTCAAAATTACTATTTGGTTACCGAATACTTGAATGGAGGGGAATTGCTAGATAAATTAACCAAGTTGTCAACCTTTAACGAGAGAACAGCAGCAGAGTACATGAAATAAGTATTATCAGCTCTCTCTTATTGTCATGCCTAAAATATTATCCATAGGTATATCACTATTTTATGTTATGTAGAGACATGAAACCATCCAATATTATGTTAGCATCCCCAGATCCCAAATCCCCAGTTAAGGTCATTGATTTCGGTACTGCCAAAAAGTAACTCAGCGGGGAATCTTAAACTCAAGTGATCGGAACAGTATTTTTCTGATCTTATTATTATTATTATAGCCCTTGTACATAGCTCCAGAAGTCATTGACAAAAATTATACTGAAAAATGTGATATCTGGTCATGTGGAGTCATTTTGTATTAAATTCTAACTGGAAAATTCCCATTTGATGTCAAGGTCCAAAGTTTACAATAATTATTCAATAATATCAAATCGGGAAAATATAATTTTAATTCAAAAGAGTTTACTAGTTTGTCATTTGAAGCTCAAGCTCTCATTAAGTCCATGCTTTCGTTGGATCCCAAGAAAAGACCAGCAGCAAGTGAGATTTTGAATGATCCTTGGATCAAGGAAAAAGCAAAGGAGGACAAGATAAGTCTAGATGTTATGAATGATTTAGGCAAATTTCATGTACAAATTATTATACTATTTGTTCCTAGAATGAAAGTAATATGAGGGCAGCCATTTTACAATTGATTGCAGGTGAAATGATGACGAACGAAGAAAAAGACCAATTAAATTAAACCTTTTAGAGTATGGATAAGAACAAAGATGGATAATTATCAAAGGAAGAGCTAATATAAGGTATTCATAAGTATCATAAATATAGCTTACACTCAAGTTTTTAATGATGAATTAAAGGCTAAACATTTAGTCGATGATATTTTCACATAAATTGATTAAAACAACTCTGGAAAAATAAGTTACACTGAATTTTTAGTTGCATCATCTAAGCAAAATACAATTTTATCAAAAACTAAAATTGATTAGGCTTTTAAAATGTTTGATAAGGTATTTTATAAGTTAATTATCGATAGGATGGTAATGGTCAGATTAGTAAACAAGAACTATAAGATATTATGTGTGGTGTAGATATTGATAATGCCTAATGGGGACAAATTATAGCTTAATGTGATAAAAATGGTGATGGAATCATCTAATATGATGAATTTGCGAATATGTTATTATAAACTGCCAAAAAATGATTTATTTTACATAAGTAATATTTGCATAATGGAATTTTTATCAACAAAATTAATCTAATATTTATAATCATCAGATAATTAAGCTAATAATAATAATTTGGAATTAGTAAGTTTCACATACAAAATAATTAATATTTACTCTTATGTTCCTTATCTACTTTCTCATAATATTTCTTAAGCATCTTTTATCAATTAAATATTATTTTTTTCTATTTATTTCTCAAGTTATTGCTAATACGTTAAAAGAAACAATGAATATGGGATTATAGTATTTAATAAATAATCATTATTAGTTATTAAATAAAATATTTTTAATTGAATCATTATTTCTTATTAAAATTATTCATCTTATCTTACATGAACTTTTTAATGACTTAATCTATTTTTTCATCTAATTTCTTCTCCACAGTTTTTACGGTGTCTACATAGATACCTGTTTTTTAATTATCTGGTCTGGCATCTACGAACTTTCCTTATTGAGCTGCCATTCCTTCAACCCATTTAGATTGAATATCATCTTTGATGTAATCTTTTAGATAAGGAATTTTAGTATCATTCTCTTGTATTTTTAAAATTAACTCATCTCTTCTCTTCTTTTCTAACTCTTACATTCTTTCATCTATTGTTTCTTAATCCAGTTTTCCCCATTCATTTTTATTATTTCCTTATTCTAATGGTTAGAAATATCTTTTAGATTCAATGAATTCCTTCTACTAATTGTTATCCTATTTGAACCCAAAGTACTTAGTTATTTGATCCTAAATCTCTGCCTCTCTTTCCTCACTATCATAATGAGTTAAATTATTTTGCATATAATGACTATAATATTCTAAATTAAATTTTAATTCCTTGATTTTCACTTAGTTTGATTTCAACTCTGCTTGTTCACTATCAAAATAGAACTCTTTTTGGAATTCATCGCTGGATATATATACTAGAATTGTTTTGATACAAAATTCGTATTACCTTTACTCATTCTTTAACTATTCAATTTCTGAATATCTCATAGTATTATCTTGTTTTTGAGTGTCCAAATGACCTTCAGTTTAGCTAAAATATTATTCCATCTTCAATGACTTTTTGCTTAAAGCAGCCATTCTTTCCTTAACCTATCTATGAAGATTAATGTACTTATCCATTTCATCTAAACACTTCAAATATAGAAACATGTATAATAAATCTGGCATTTATTTTTTCTTATTGTATTATTACTCTTTATAAATTTGTTACATCTACTAAACCATATTCTCATTGATAAAATACGAATCTTTAAATCCTTTAATAATCTAATCGATTGTTTCCTATTTATCTATTTAAAAGTTATTTTTGAACCAATCAAAATAATCCATTTTAGACATCTCTGACAATTGGGTCTTGATCTTATCAGTTTTGCTTGTGAACTCCATCTTTTTTGATTTACTCATTTTGAAATGAATATCCTCCTATAAAATTTGTAAATCAATAAACTTATCATAAAACTTCAATTATTTAAGTTCAACAAGCAGTAAATATAACACATTTGCAGCCAACTCATATTATGAACCAACAATTGGTAAACAATGTGAAAGAACATAATTACAATAAGGTGTAATCAATGATTAACCTTCTTCTTTTTTTCTCTTTTATTCGTTAGCTTCATGATTCCAATCAAAAAATGTAGTTTAATTATCGAATTGTTGAGTTTTGATTTGTTCTCTTTCATTTTATATTCTAATCTATTGTAATTAAAGATTATGAGGTATAATTTTAAATTCATTCATATTAACTTTTAACAATTCACAACATTGGTCGTTTGGCAATATGGAATTAAAAAATCTAGTCAATCTTCTCTCTACATTGGTTTTGCTGACATCCTTTTTCTAATCTATTTAAGAAAATAATTAGGATTAACCAAATTCGAAGTTTGAAGATTGCATTTAATTCAATTCCTCATGAAAATTAGCATCACTTTCCAATTTCTCTGAAATGTATGTATTGATATTCTCAAATACCTGCTTATAATGTTTTTTATAGACATAACTAATATGCTCATATTCAGGAGTCTTAATTTTATATTTACATTCATAACCATTTTCTTTCCTAATAATTTCTCCAAACCCATTTGGAAATTCATCATCACTATTAATTAACTCCAACTCCTTAGTAAATTTTGCTAATTTGATTCCCCAAAAATAAGCAATCATTTTAGATCTTTTATCCATATACTAACTAACTCTCGACATTTAATCTTCAAAAGTCTTCACAACCTTCTTTTATATCTCCTTCTCTGTCTTACTAAACTTTTGTTCCACATGTTTTAACTTCTCTGACTTAAGAGCTTCAAAAACACTGTATCCAAAGTCAAACACCTATCTATAGATTTCCAATAGGAAGTTTCTGCCTGGATATTCTTGACAATCAAATACTTAATCAATTTCACCACATTCGATTCTCTCAGGAAATAACATTCTGTATTGATACACAACTGGTGCTCTTTATGGAAACAAAGAATTTATTTTCATGTAATACCACGATTGTAATTCATAATCCTACTAAAGTTCAAAAGCTTTTGTATATTTAATTTGATCATGCATAGATCTGATACGTATTTCGAAATCTCCATGCGAAACACTTGAAACTTTAAAATTAGTATGTCTGATTGTGGATTCTTAAACTAGCTTTTCACATTCGTTGTCCATATTCACTCCAACACTATAGGCTAATATGTATTTCAATAAATATAATTATTATTCATTCATGCTATCTTGCTCAAATGTTTAAGCATCAAATTTATAGAATCCATTATTGAATTGAGCAGATATAAATCTGATAATCTCATAGTTCAAACAAGGAATCAAGTATGGTTTTATTTCATGAATAAGCTATGGTTTTGTATAGGTAGGAACTTAAAAATTAAACCCTGTCAAAAAGTTCTTCATTTCTTTCATTCCTGCCTATTTCATTAGACTTAACATATATAGTGGAGCCTATTTATATTCTACCACGTAATTTTATAGATCCTGCTTATTCAATTTGTAGGGACTTATCAAATTAATAAGTTTGGCTAATTCCTCATCTGATAAAGTAAGTTATTTGCAATCAAAAATAGCGAACTTCATTCTAGACACAAGTTGTTTTATATCGTCAATAACACTATCTTTTGCAGTCTAAAGCACTGGTTTTAATATCAAATAGATATGTTCTAGGGTTATTAGATACTAAGATACCTATTTGAGTGCATTCAGGAATAAACAATGAAGCCAATTATTCAGTTA